CTCAAGGTAGCAGTTAAGCATCCCCCAGTAACACTGCTCAAACGCTCAAAAGCCACCAGAAGAAGAATCAGATCAAATCTCAGTCGTGACTGATGTGCCTCCTCCTGTTTCCAATTAAATCCTGCTCTTCTGTTTGTGAGATACAAGCAATGAGGTTGCTGAGGTGTCTTGAAATTAGACACAGTCGTATCGTCCTACAAAGCCAGTGCAAACCTGCAGAGTGTATTTAGTCAAAACACAATTTGGGGATTTCCCTGCTCTGCAGGTGTAGAATCTAACTAGAAGAAGAAACGAGATGTTTCCTGACAGTTCTTCACCGCGCTGTATCTTGCTGCTTTGCTTTAAACTGTGCCCAGAGGCTATGGCAGAGGTTTGCAGAATCTAACGGGAAGGTCGTTCCTACAAAGTGGTTGGTATTTTGCCAAAACCCATCAGCGCACGGTGGCGAGTCCTCCGTGTGCTCCTCTGGGTTATTTGCCTTTTTACTGCAGTAAGTCCAGTGCCGTGTCACGGCTCTGCCATTGATCAGCGCTAAATAGCAGGACGTGCCGGCTAGGCAGAAAGACAACGCTGCTGCTGTTCCCTCATTAAGACGTATAATTACTGAGGGAGCGGCAGTGCTGCACTTGGAGCAGTAAGGTGTTAGACAAACGCTTTGGGATGCCATTCTGACGGGAGTTCTTGTGTAGATAAGTCACTTCTGGCTGTCACCCCCCTCCCCTTGTGTGCTGGGATGGAGCCGATGGGCACACGTCACCCCTGGGGCAAACAGTGTCTGCGCTTGGCTTAGCGCACTGTAAATATATATATATATATATATATATATATATATGTATTTGTTTTGGTGCTGCTTAAATCTGTGATTGAAAAACTAGTCATCAAAGGAGACTGAATTTGGCGTGCCTTGACCGAGAGGTTTTTCATGGAGGCTGGAGGCAGAACTGCTCTGGCTGGGTCGGTTTTGTCTGATGTAGCAGGGCTTACCTGACTGTGTTTCCTGATAACCCCGTGCTTCTTACAGCTTTTATCACGGCTTTCGCCATCAGCAGAACCCACAGCCAGCTGCAGTGGCTGACACGCCAGGAGTGCTTATCGAGGGCCATTGTGCTCTTATCCAGATCTTCAATAATACATGGCATTGATTTTTGCTGTGTTGAATACTATATAGTGTTTACATTCCCCAGAATAATTCAGCAGGGTAAACAGATAGTATTCTTTGGAAGTAAAGTCAATAGGAACAGCGTTCGGGATAGTATTTGCTGTCTAGCTTTGATAGAAAGCAACCTTTCTCTTGCCTGTGTTTAGAAGAGGCTATAATTTCTGCAGGGTAGTGTTCCCTCAGAATGCTAGTCAGATACTGTGTCCCCTGGGGCTGGTTTTGGGATCCAAGATATTGTCTATCAGCATTTTTTGCAGACAGTAAATTCTGCTGCTGCAAGTGCCTTTGGCTGTTTTCTGGGACTGCGGCCATTCACAGCTTCAGTTCAAAGGTGGAAGCCTTCCATTATTTATCTAGTTGACCTCCTGGAGCAATTTGTAGGTGTATTTGCGCAGAGTGTCTACTGGAATTGGCTTTTATAGGGTAAACTGAGGATGCTAATGGAAATTCCGTGGCGGAGGTTGCAAACGGCTGCTGTGGTACGCTGCTTCCCGTCGGCTTTGCGGCAAGTAGGGGTGGCCAGGCGCTGCCTCTGGCACAGCTGGACACCCCCAAGGTGTACAACGCCGAGGTTTTTGTGCCGGTGGTGTTTGGTCCTGCACGTGCTGTTTTGAATGAAACTGTAGCTGAGGAAGTTGCTGCGCGGCGGTGCCCTTCGCAGCACCCAGTAGGAAGGTCCTTCACGCACCTCTCGCCGGGCGAACTGGCACTTGGGCTGCCGAAGGGTTCCTGAAGCCCATGGGACGTTGAGGACTTTTGTTGTTTTTTTTTTTTTTTTTTTTTTTCCCCTCTTGGAGAGGTTCAGGTGTCTGCAGTGCTTCCCTCATCCTGAGACGATCCCTCGCTAATGGTTTTTGGTGGCTTCTAGCACATCATTAAACAAAGAAAAAACACAGGAGGGAACAGCTCCTGCTTAAATAGACCCTGACATCACCATACATATGCACAGCTATGTATTGCTTCTGGAAAACTGGCGGGCCAGGAGTAGATGGAGCCTCTGGGCAGAATATGAATGCCTTGATTTTCTAGCCCCCTGAGCAGCAGGGAAGAGGGCCACTAGGACCAGCCAGTGGAGATTGAGATATAATTGCTTGCCTAGAGCGGTAACATATTTCTGTACACCGGCTGAATACCAATGAGGACAGAAGGAAGGGAGGTATCAAACAGAATTGCAGGCAGGAGGAAAAGGAGGATGAGTGATTGCAGGAAGGGACTCAGAGGCCATGGCTGAAGACAACAGGCTAGTTCTGGTTAGAACGTTTTACCAGGGAGTGTTTTGGGGTTTTTTAATGATTTTTTTCAGGAGATGAACGTATTGCAGAGCCGGTCAGTGAGAAAGTGAGCAGGAGCAAGGGGCAAGCAGCGTGACCCCAGGTGTCACTGAAAAGAGCGCTACAAAGACAGGGGCAGGGAAAGGGAGCTGAAACCAGGGTTACTTAACTAGAAGCAAGTACATCCTTTTGGGGTTGAGGAGGTTAATGCCACGAGATTTCTTACATGGGCCTTTTTCTTCCCAGTACCCCTCCTTTCCGTAATTGCACACAATAATCTTTAAGAAAATACAGGTTTTAGCAGCATGAACAGTTGAAATCACCTTCCTGTGTAATTGCCAACTTAGGATGGAGTTTTGTTAGCCCCCTACATAGCTTGAGAGGATAGTCAGGGGCAGGACTGTCCCCTCCATGCCTGGGGAACTCTGAAGGAGTGCTCAGCAGCGCCGATGGATGGTCCTATCTGCACTGCCTTCTCCATGTGTGCTCCGTGAAGATGCAGAGTAAGACTCAGTTTATCTGAATTCTGTCCTTAAGGAAAAAACAAACAAACAAACAAACAAAAAATAACAAACCAAAACCAACAACAACCACAAAAAAAAAAAAAAAAAACAAAACAAAACAAAAAAAAACAAACAGCATGACCTAGCCTTCAGGCCTAAGCTACCAATAGGAAGCATGCACCTCACAGGGTATTTTGGAGCATTTTAGATGCTTTGAAAGCGCTTAACCCATCAGCTGCCTCTGAATTATCATGTAGGCTCTGGTAGTGGGAACTAGACATAGGGATCTAATGAGCTAAAAATAATGTTGGAAAGAACAGGCTTAGCATCTCTGAGTCACTGAATGTCAGCATCTGCCTTTTCTTCCTGAAATAATGTGGTGGAGGCTTTGGAGGGAGCCGACGGGGGAGAATGAAATCTCGCGGTAGAGCCCTGATTGCAAAGCTCCACAGAAGCCTCACTCTGTGGGCAGCTGCCCCTCTGAAATGGATGGGAGAGGCGGTTTCGAAGCAGCGGCATTGAGGCAGCCGGGCATCAGAGCCCCGCGTTCTGCAGGGCGCCTGTGCCTGCTCCCGGGTGACGTCAGGGCTCTGCGGCGATGAGGCGATGCTAAACCTGCCCCTGGGCAACGCTGAGGATGGGGGGGTTACTGCTCAGAGCCTGCCAGCCAGGCGGGAAAGCAGGGGAGCTGGGCAAACCTTGAGAGCTGAAGCAGGTCCCACGTCCTTCCCCTCCGCCGGCGGGAAGCTTCGGTGCGGATGGGCTTTGCTGCAGAAGTGGCTTGAATAGGTTTGCTGGGGGGGGGGGGGGTGTTTTGGAAGGAGGGCGAGCGTGGGTATTTGACCTATATCCTGCACATCACGTCCAGGAAGCCTGAAAGGCGTGATGGGAGGAATCTACTCTTACACAATGCCTCTCATTTTCACCTCCATTAGTTTTATCGGGTTGCTGCATTACATTTATATTATCGTTGTTAGAAACAAAAAGGGAAAGAGAGGGTAAATTGCCCTGTCGCTCCCTCTGCGGATCGGCTTCGGGGATTCTGTTGTTTTAAAGCCACCTAGATGGAAAACAGTGCTGTCACTTAGCATGGCATTGGGTTCAGACTGAAAACATTACAGATTTTTTTGTACAAAAATGTTACTGGCTTTGTTAGAATCAGTGAACGAGCAATTGCAGTGGCTGCACAGAAATGAGCAAAGACTCCCGATAGCAGTGAGATGCAAAGCATCTCAGCCTTGCAAAGCCTTAAAACATGCTTTATTTTTATGAACTTTATGACCCAGATTTGCTAATTAAAAGCAAACAGGATTGTCAGATCTGTCTGGTTTTACCCAGTCCACTGATACAGGGAAATTTATCCAAATTGAGAGCAGCGTAACCTTTTAAGGGGGGAATGGGGAACAACTTCATTGCAAAAACATATCCACGGGTGAGCAGACAATGGGCCCACAGTCCCGTGTGTTGCCAAGAGGAGCTGTATATGGGCACTGAAAACTCCATACGGAGCCTTCTTCAGGATTTACACATACATACATGTTAGTGTATTCCCTTCTTTTTGCTTCTTTTGCCCTGCCACCACAAGCTCTGAAATGGCTAGTGGGAATTCCCGTCCTGCCCATCCTCTTTCGGGCTTTTAGTGAGCTAATTCACAGTTGTTTATACAAACTAAAATATTTTCTTACAAACCCCTCCCAACTGAGCACTGCCTCATTGCTTTTTCCTTTGTACAAGCCAGTGTCCTTTGTGAAATACGGCCCTCAGCTTCCACCTGCTGTTCAGAGTCAGAATGGCAAGTCTGCCACAAGCTTCAAGAAAATAAAAATACTAGTGCAGGTTTCAATCCCGGGTGTAAAACGTCGAACAGGATGAAAGTGGAATTTAAATGACAACGTAGAGCTGGTCCTGGTGAGGCTTTTGGTTTGGTTCAGGTTAGCCAGCCTGATTTTCCCAGAGCTTGAATGAAAGGTGTGTCACTTCCACTGATCGAATCAACCAATTTGTAGCTGTTTTAAGAAGCAGTCTGCTGTTAGTTGTACAGAAGTGTGCTGTTCTTCTCTCTTCCAGCTAAAAACCACAGTGACACCCAAGTGTTCTTCTACCTGTGGATTATCTTCTATTTCATCAGCTCTTGCTATACCCTAATTTGGGACCTGAAGATGGACTGGGGTCTCTTTGACAAAAATGCTGGTGAAAATACCTTTCTACGAGAAGGAATTGTCTACCCGCAGAAAGTGCGTATACAGCCTGCTCTTACCTTAGGAGAGGCTTTTTATTGCTTTAACAAAACTTGCTGAGTTTAGAGCACGTTGCAGTTGCCCGCTCGTGCTTCTGAATGCCATGGGCTGGGGTTTTCTGGGAGTAGAGTTCATTTGTTTCAAAGAGATCATTTCGTGCTGTTCCCTTTTCGAGCGGTTGAGCAGCAAATTCGGTGCCTTCCCGAAGGCCTGAAGAGGTCTGTCTGCTCTGCAGAACGCGTACGATGAGCGGTCCTGTGTGTCTGTCTTGTTCTTCAGGCATACTACTATTGTGCCATTGTAGAAGACGTGATCCTGCGTTTTGCGTGGACCATCCAGATCTCCCTCACTTCCATGCAAATCTTTCCGTACGCTGGGGACATCATTTCTACTGTATTTGCCCCACTTGAGGTATTCCGGTAAGGCTGCTTGACTGAACAGTCCATTTCTCGTTTACATTTTTTTTTTTTTTTTTTATTAATTCTATAACATCAGCACGGTGGGAGGAAGTGCCTTGCTCCTTGGAGGTGGAAGGTACCGGTCCTTGAAATGAAAGTCTAGGTCTAACAGGAGCATTTAATCCCAACAAGGTGCTGAGTGAGCAAAGCCATGGAGGGCTCTGCTGCAGTGTGGGGCTGGGTCCTTCCTATTGCATTTACAGTTTCTTCTGAACCTAGACCTCATCTTGAGGGGTTTGGTTTTGCTAAATTCCTCCTTAAAATTACCTTCTTGAAATTCCCAGTTGAAATCTCACTTGACTCTCGAGCTTACAACGTTCAAATCTCTGCTTCTTTGCCAAACACTAATTCGGGTTCTGCATCGCCGGTCTGGATCCCGCAAGGTCTCATGGCTCTTCACACACTCGCCCTCTAGTCGGAGACCCACCTCCACAGCTTCTTGAGCTGAGTAACAGCCCTTGAGGCTGAACCTCACTCCCTTACATGGTGGAGGTTGCCTTTTGCTTGTAATGCCCGCTGCCTTCGTGCTGTCCGGATTCGAGGGCTGTCGTCGCTGTGAATGAGCCCGACAGCTCTGCTCTACTCCGGACAGTTGGGACGATGTTGTTGCGGGTGCTGCTGTCGGTCATTTGCCGTTTCTCCGTACTCCCGGCGTGTTCCTGGAGGCGCTTTGGTCAGTGAGAACAGTCAGTGGCATCCAGGTGCTTCACCAAACACGGGCGATGCCCCCAAGAGCGGAACCGAATTGGTAATTTCCACTTTTTCTCCACCCAGGCGGTTTGTGTGGAACTTCTTCCGCCTGGAGAACGAGCACCTGAACAACTGTGGTGAGTTCCGTGCCGTGAGGGACATCTCCGTGGCACCGCTCAACGCCGACGACCTGACGCTCTTGGATCAGATGATGGACCAGGAGGATGGAGTACGAAACCGCCGCAAGAACAAACAGTGGAAGCGCAGCCAGAGCGTGTCCTTGCGCAGACCTCGTCTTGCTTCACAGTATGTTTCGCCTCTCCTCTAGTGCAACAAAACCCAGTTATGTGTTAGAGCTGGTTTTAATGCTTGGGTGACCATTTATGGACTGGGTAATCACGGAAAGATCTCAGCTGAAATAGTTATTCAGAAGGAGGACGGGTCCAATTAGTAAATGAATATTTTTATGCCGGAGGCTTGATCCATCCTTTACATCATCTTGGGTAAGCCACTGGAAAAGGGAGTTTCTTTACAAAACTCCCCTCCTGTGAAAAAAAAAAAAAAAAACAAAAAAGAAACAGCCTGTAGCAGTTGCTAGAGGTTACAAATCCAAACCTGGAAGAGAGCTTCTCTTCAACCGGCCATTTCCAGGCTTCAGACCACCCCAAGTTCTCAGCTATCAGATTTCATAGGTGAGATCTCAGGCCCCTTCCTCCCTCAGATCTAAACCCGTGCCTTCCTTTTCTTTCCGCCAATCATCCTTGCACCCTAAACGCTTCCCCACCCGGCACCCCAGCCCCCCGCACGTGTCGACGGCGCCTCTTGGCTGCAGTGCCCGTGCTCTGAGCCTCGCGGGGACGCGCCGGTGCCCGGGCCTCACCCCGGCGCCGCAGCTCCGGAGCCCCGGGGGGCTCCTTTGGCCGGGGTGCCCGCCTGGGCTCCCCGGGGCTGCGGCAGCACAGCGTGGTGTCAGGAGTGGCGGCGCGATCCCTGCGGCGCGTCCCGCTGTCCTGGGGGCGGGTGGGTGCGTGGGTGGGTGGGTGGGCGCCCCGCGGTGCCGCGGCGTCCCCGGCCGTGGGCACTGCCGCGGGGGGGGGTGCTCAGGGGCAGCTGGGGCACGTTTAGAAGGCTCTGCTATGCCCAGGGAGTGTGAAACAGTTCCGGGAGCTGCTTACTCCCTCTCTGTATAAGACTTTTTTTTTTTTTTTTTTTTTTTTTTTCCCGGCCCCCACAAGTGCACTGCAGTTTTACTGTCTACATGTAGTAACAGGAATTTCTTCTCCCCACTGAGTGTTTTCTGTTTGTTGTTTTTTTGCCTTTTTTTTTTTTTGCCTTTTTTTTTTTTTTTTTTGCCTTTTTTTTTTTTTCCAGGTCCAAGGCTTGTGACACTAAAGTATTGATAGAGGACCTAGCGAACGAAGCGAACACATGAGATGGCCACGGTCTCTTATTCCGCATCCTTTGTTTTCTCATTCTGTTCCCCTCTTCCCCAAGTAACCCGATCTCTGGTACAGTTCCAGCTGAAAACAGGAGAAAACACTGAACACGTTTTCCGAGCTCTTCCAGACCAGAACCTATGGACTCCAACAAGCTCACTGTGTTTCGTTTCTTTTCTTCTGGGTTAATTTTAATGTTCTATTTTAAAAAAAAAAAAAAAAATAAAATATTTTACTTTGTTTTGCCAATAAAGAGGACAGTTCAGGAAAGAAGGATTGTTTACAGTCTCAACAAGGACACACAAACCTATCTGGATAACGAAGCATCATAGGGACTCCCTCATGGGACAGTGCCGAGAGCACACTCGGTTTCTGCTTGGCCCGGTTTTGACTGGTTGAAACCGGACTTAAGTTTTTAAATCTTGATTTTTTTGGTTTTGTTTTTAGGTTGGTTTTTTTTTTTTTCTTCATATCCAGCGCTGAGGCACTGGCTGCACTTGCAGGAAAAGTGCACTTAGAGCAGTATCTTCATTCATGAAGCTACTTTTTAATTTGATGTAACTTTTCTTATAATTTTTTGGAAATACGATGTATCTGTTGCATATAGTTTTCACATTATTTATGAAACTTAACAACCATATGAGAGTGATTTTGAGTCCTGTGCAATGAAGGTTGTAATGGTAAAACAAAGCCGGGAATGTAGATCTGGATCTCCAGGGTTGTGGGGTTATGCCCTGCAAATACCCCTCTCGTGAGACAACTTGCACCTGTGTTTACCTTTTCTCTCTTTCCTTCTTTTCAGTGTTATTTTATTTTAAACCAAAGTTTCTCTTTGTGATTTTTTTAGTTGCTGCTACTGCTTCTGGGCATGTCTCTTGTGCCGTTCAACGCCAACGTTCCATGCAGCCGTGTGAAAGTAGTGCAGGTGATCCTTAAGGCCCTTTGGAAAGGAGAGTTGGGTCGTACCAACCATGCAAAAAGCTAGGCGAACCCAAGGCTTCAGAACTTCTTTCTCCGGATCCAAAAAAAAAAAAAAAAAAAGATTTTTCCAAGCCTTAATAATCCTTAGATGGCATAAGGGCATCCCACGCCGAGCAGGGAGCTTTTCTGGTGTTCTCCTGCAGCCCGGCGCAGCAAAAGTGGGGCGAGGCGAGGAGGGGGTGGTTCCCGTGGGAGGGATTTTAGCAGGCTGGGGCTCAGGAAGCGGCGCTGTGTCGGGGAGCGCGGCAAGGGCTGTGTGGTGCCCACCCGGTGATGGGGAAGGTGGAATTGAAAACCGACGGGTGTCCTCGTGGCTTCTGGTTTGGCAGAGAGGCTCTGTCGGGCGCTGCGTAGCCGTCCCGTGGCTCGGCGGCTACTCGTGCCCCTCGCCTTCGGCTCGCCCACCCGGTTTGGGAGGCGCGGTGTTACGAAGCGTGGTACGTGGGTGACGGGCAGCCGTACTGCCCGGAGAGCGACGCTGCTGGCTCGGTGCTCTCGGCCTCTCCTCCCGGAGGAAAACAAACATTGGGGGGGGCCCACAGAGCCCCCACCATCCTTCCCCCCCGCCGGGGCGCGACGCGCCCTCCCGCGCCGCAGCACCGGCGGGCGGGGGGAGCTGGAGCTGGACCTCGCAGCCGGGGCTGCTGCCGCGGGGTCGGGCCGGGGTGCCCGGGGACCCCCCCTCGCCTTCCCCCCCGCCTTGCCCGGCCCGTGGGCAGCCGTGCTGCACGGCTGGGGCTGCGAGGGGAGGGTGAAACTCTTGGAGTAGGATCCTCGCACTGATGTCTGTCCGGTGTCTCGCCTCTCGTTCGGGTGGTGGAATAGCAGGAATCTTTGCTCAGCTGCTCTTCGGTAGTTGCTTTGTTGGGTTTTTTTTGTTTGTTTGCTTTGTTTTGTTTTGTTTTTAATTAGCTGACGGCATGGTTTCTCACACAACCGGTACATTGCATTTTCTCCGTTCGCCCGCTGTGCCCTTTGCCCAGAGGGGCTGAAGAAGGAAACTTAGTTCTCTCCATTGAATTGGAAACAGATTAAAATTCCGTGGTGGTGAACCCCGTGCCAGGCTGAGGGCCACGCTGCAAGCCTGGAACCTCCCGACACTCCTGCTGCACGCTCTCTCAGCTTACAAAGAAACCCCCCTGGACCTGCCGGGAGGTGCCTGCGCTCTGTCAGCGGTGTGCGCGGCGGTGTGTCTGTCTGTCTGTCTCCTCCCCGCATCTCCCGCCGCGGCCGGGCACGCCGGGGTCATCCTCATCTTTTTTTTCACTGCCCAGCAGCCTGTTTGTTTTGTTTTGTTTTGGTTTGGTTTTTTTTCCCTTATTTTTAACTCCCTTAGGCCCCGTTGTTTGTACTCAAACCGGAGGGGTCCTGTTTGTAAGGAGGTGTGGAGCCTGAGGTAGAGAGCCCCTTATAAATATTTCAGTTTCCTAATTCGCAGTGCGGCGGTTGTGTCCAAACCTCGCGTAGGTGTTTCCAGCGGTGGGAGACGAGCGAAGCCGTGCCGGCCTAGGGGTGCTTTAGAGGCAGGGGGCAATCCAGCAGAAACCAGCGGTGTTACTTAAGCAAGTGGCTCTTTATAAAAAAAAAAAAAAGAAGCAGAGCTTTATTGGTAATTCTTCCTTTCCGAGGGAAGGAAAAAATAACAGAGAGACATTTTGAAGTGATGCCAGTGCCCTGGGAGCGCTCTGCCTTCCTCAGCTGGGCTGGGGGGAGCGGGGCACGGCCTGTGGCCGGCCTGCTGCACCCTCCAACCGTCCCCTTCCCAACCTGGCGGGGAGGGTCAGGTTGCATGTTGTGAAATTCTTATTCTGTAGTTTACCCAAATCCTTACGGGAGGCGAGAATTCGGTCTGTCCGTCTGCTCTGCTCTTTCCCTTCATTTTTTCCTCTGTCTTTGCCGGTAGGAGAAAGAAGGTAGAAAGGGGAGGTGGCGTGCTGCGGCTAGCAAACGTGATCTCCTAAAGTAAAACATCGTCCCTCTTGGCAGTGAAGATGCTCTCTTGGGGAAAAGCAGCCCGAATTCCCAGAGGCACAGCTCGTAAAGGCTCCCAGCCCTCCTGCCCTGCCTCGGCCTCTTCCCTCCCTCCCTCCCTGAGGTTTCTGCGAAATCAGGCGTGCAGATTCCTCCCGAGCGCGAGCACTAAAGCCGGGATGGCTCCGCGTCTACGAGAACATCTGGGCAATGAAGGGAGCCCTAACGAAGCAGAGCAGGTGGTGAGAGGAGATGGCCCCGGTGGTCGGGGCTTCGTCCCGTCAGCGGGCTTTGCTGATGGGTGCCTGGAGACACCCCCGGCGCGGGGATCAGCGAGGGTGACCATCCAGAAATACGGGGAGCGGAGTTAAAAGGAGCTGGGATTCGGTTCTTATCCGGCGCTTTACTCGTTGGGCCGGGTGGGATGTGGAAGCTGGGAGGGGGCTGCGCGGTGGGCGCGGCGGAGCCGTGCTGGCTTTCGGGTGTTGAGCTCTCCCTCTCCTCGCGATGCGGTGCGGAGGCGGTGGCCGCGTGCGGCTCCGAGGGTGGCGTGGCCGCTGCTCTTGCCTGGCTGAAACCCTCGCAGGTGGCCCCGTCTGAGGGGAGGAGATGCCACAGTGTGGCCGGTGACTTTTGGAGATTCCCTTGGAACTCGCTTCTCCGTGCCGATCCCCTCCTGCTTTCCATCCTTCCCCGCTCTTCCAGGGATTTTTTTCAGGTTGCGGCGGGGTTAGGGTTTGCAGCCCCCGGGGTTTATTTGCTAGCTGGAGTTCCCTGCATGGCTTTGGGACTGTCACCAGGAGCGCCAGGTCCCCTGCCCAGGGCAGGCAATGCCGTGCTGTTGCGGGTGAGCGCTCCCAAAGCGGCAGCAGGGCAGGTTCAGGCTTTACGGGCTCGCCGAGCAGGAGCTGCTCCGTCAAGGGGAACCACCGCATTTTTTTAAAAATAAATAAGTAAATAAATAAATAAATAAAAATCCATTTGCAGCGCTCGTGGCCGCGGCCTGCACGTATCAAGCTCCTACCTCTCAAATCCAGGCAGCGTTCCCAAAGTTGGCTGTCGCTCATCCTGCGCCATCCCCTGCCCCGCTCCCGGCCCTTCTGCTGCTGTCAGCGTCTCAGCCTCTCTGCCGCTTGTCCGAAGCCGACTGGATGCAGGGGGGACAACCGGCAGCGTCCCAATCTTTGGGGAGGGGTGGGGGGGGGGGGGGGAAGTCTCTTGCGGAGCAGAGTTGGATCCCTGCTGCTCTTACTTCCCTAATAACTTCTTGTGCTGCTTGTTGCGATGCTCAGCGGCCGGGAGGGAGCAGGTCCCTGGGGATTTTACTTCGGCTCTTCCAAGGAGCAAGGGAGAAGGCGCGGAGCCTTCGAGCTTTGCCTGCGTTGTGAACGGCCGGGTGAATTTGGCCCTGTGTGGCCAGGCTGCTGCTGCCTACCGCTTGCCGTGGCTCAGGCTTTTTGGGGAGGGGGGGTTTGTGGCCCCGGTGTCGGGCCGTCGCGCTGGGACGTGCCCTGGGACCGGGGCAGGGCTTGGCTCCCGCCGGGAACGCAAACCCCACTTTGCTCCCACGCTGCATCCCGGCCCCGTGTCCTCCCTCCTCTCCTCCACCGTTCCGCTTTGCACTCGCAGGGGGATGATGATCTTCTGCCTTAAGCATTTTTTTTTTTTTTTTAAATATTTATTTACGTTTTTATTCCAGAAGGCGATCAGATTGTTTTGCCTCCTTGGAAAAGAGGGGCTGGGGCTCCCGGGGGGTGGGGAAGAGTGGACAATCCCTACGGTAACTGCAGCAGTCGCGGTGGGGCTCGGTGGCCGTCGCCTCATCACACCTCGCCTCCTTGGTGCGACGCCGTCCCAAACCCCACACCTCGGGGCCAGCTGCCGACCCGCCGCCACCGCGGGGTTAAAAGGGTGTTACGGGCTGTCCCTGCGGCAGGTCCTGGCTCTGAGAGAAGCGCAGGTTTGGCCGGGGGAGGAGAGGAAAAGGGATGGTGACGTTGGGTGTGCCCAGAGGCCGATGCCCCAGATGTTCCCGGCGGGAGCCCGAGGCTGCTCTGGCCCCGCGCCGCGGTGGGCGAGAGGCGCCGACCCTGCCGGGGAAGGTGCCCCGTGGCCTGACAGCCCCTCAAGCTCTAGAAACCAAATTGCAAACTCTTTGCTCCCGAGGAGAAATTGGGCAGCCTGGTAGAACTTGTGATGACCTCTCCGTCCCGTAGGTCCTCCTGACGAAGGAGCGGCGTTTGGAAGGGGCTCGGGGTGGGAATTCCAAAGTTCCCCCCCGGTCCCGCTGCCGCCTTCCTCTCCCCCTCCCCGCTGTGTTGGTCTAAATGATCTTTCTATGAAGCCCTGTAGATGTCAAAAGTAATTATGGAGTGTGATTAGTCCTCTGTGGGTGCTTTCTTTCTTTCCTCCTCCTTTCTCTTTTGCTATCCCCTTCTCCACTCTTCTTTTTTGGCTAAGTGGAAAAGGTGAGGACAAAGAATTGCCGCTTGCTTGGACTCATGATGTATCTGTGACTGCGCTATTAGCTGTCTCCTCTTTCCTCCCCAAATGGATATAATTTTTGAAGTGTGGAATACCCTTCTTGATAAGTAGGTTTTAAAACAAAAAAAAAAAAAAAAATGCACAATGTGATACTGTTTCATAGTTTCTAGGTGGTTGTATAAAGCAAAGTTACTGTGATTGTGTTTTTCAAAGGAAAAAGTGATTGGTTACGAAATCTGTCCTTTTTTCATTATTACAAGCTCTTTGTTTTCCAATGATCTGATGGCTCTTTTGTGCCGGGTCTGTGTGTCTTTCTTCCCACATCCCACCCCTGGTGCTGCCTCCACCCCCGCAGCGTTTGCATCCACCGCCCTGTGCAGATGCTGCTCTTGCACCCGTGGGAGCTGTGGGCTGTCACCCGTGGCCGGAGGCGGGGGACGCCTGTGTCCCGGGAGGAGGTGGAGGTGCTTGGGGGAGGGAGATGTTTGAGAAGGGCTCGGAGGTGGGCAGGGGGTCAACGGGAAGGTCCCAGGGCTCAAACCTGACATGCCCAGGGGTGATGCTGGAGGAAACCCCCCTGCCCAGACCGTGCCGTACTGCCTAAAGGCTCTTGGTCCTTCTGGGGGGGAGCCTTTGGCTGCCTCTCCCCAGCTTGTCTCTGGTCCAAGGTGTTGTCCCGCCTGCACAGGGGGTGGCCAGAGGCTGAGCGGCCCAACTCTGGGTCTGTGCTTTCATTTTGCTCTCTTAAAGCCCTTCATCGTCTCTTGCCATCAAGCTGCCTCCCAGAAGAGAGCCCGACGCCTTGAAACCGCTCCTAAGCCCGTTGCCGCTCACGCCAGCCGCTTCCCAGAGGTTTAATCCCGACCTCCGGGCTGGCGGCAGGACCCCAGCTGCCCTTTGGCACCTCACCGGCCTGTTTGTCCCCACCTCAATGGGGACAACGTCTCCCCAGGCCGCTTTTCCCCTCCCCAGCCTGGGGAAGAGGAGCTGGGATCGCTCACTGGGACAGCACGGAGGTAAGGAGGGATCCTGGCACCGCAGGGGAGGTCGGACCCCAGGGCTGGGGTACGGGGCGAGGTGGGGGGGGTGTCTCTCCTCCTTGAGATCTTCCACCCCGACCTGCCAGCGGTCTGTCCCCCCGTGGGGCAAGGAGTGAGCCCCGCTTCGAGCACAGCCAGCCCCCGGCCGGGGAGGAAACCCTTGGGTTTTTGGCTCCCTCGGGCTCATTTTTGGCTCCGGGGCCGCTGGGGTGGGGCGGAGGACGGAGATTTTAAGAAGATAAAAGTGATTTCTTGCCGATCCCGTGCTGGCAGGGGCCAGCGCGGCTGGAGCCGGGAGGATTAAAACAATTTCATAATCCTGGTGATTTCCTTTTGATCGGGATTATGAAACCAATCACGAATATCAAAAGCGGCAGCCGGAGCGGGGCCGGGATGCTCCTGGCCCCCGCAGCACCCCGCCTGCCCCCCGGGCACGGCAGCCCGGGTGCCTCCAGGTAAGCAGCGCCCACCCGGGGCCTTCATCCTGCGTGACGAGTTTCGTGGGGTCTCAGTGGGAGGAAGCGGGGGGGGCGGTTCGGGTGTGTGGGGAGCGGGTGGCTCCGCAGGGTGCTTGCTGCACGCTGGGTTTCGGGGTGATGATCCGCGGGTGCACCAAACTCTGCTCCCGCCACCCTCCTGCCTGAAGGTGCTCGGGTGGCCCTGGGGACCCGGGGCAGGATTTGGCCTCTGGGAAAACAGGAAAATTTAGCACAGCTACAAACCGCGGGATGCTCGCGGGAGGGTGCCTAAAGCCGGCAGGGCTTTGCTGCCTGCCTGCAGCCCGTCAGAAAAAAAACTCCCCCACGCCGGCGGGACCACCCTCACCATCCTTTCGGGGTCTCCTGAAGCCCCAGCTGCTGGTGCGGGGCAGACCCGACCCCCCCCCCCCCCCCCAGCACCCCGGGGTGCGGTGCCCCCCCGGCAGGCCCCGGGAAGGGGGGCTGGCTTTGCTCCCCGCTCGCCTCCCAAACCCACAGCCCAGACAAAGGACGTTCCTGAGAGCCGGCCGAGGCAGCCGGGCTGCCCTCCGTCCCGGCGCGGGGTGTTGGGGTCCCCTCCGTCCCCCCACGCTGGCGTCGCCCTTTGGGCGTGGGGGCAGCCGCTTTGGCTGCAGGGCTGGGGCAGGATTTGGCCGGGTGCCCTGGCATGGGGTGGCGCGGAGGAGGAAGAGGAGGAGGCCTGGGCGGGAGGCAGGGCCGCCGGCGGCCCCACAGTCCAGCCAGGCGGCTGAGCTTGGGCTCAGCTGAAGGGGCTGGGATTTGCTGATTTGTCCTTTTTTTTTTTTTTTTTTTTTTTTAATTTTTTTTTTTTCCCCTCCCCTGCTTCCTTCCCTTCTTCCGCCTTCTTCTCCCTCTTCCCAGCCCTCTCCCGATGCTGCTCCGGGGGTAAGGACAACTTTCGCCCCCCCCCCATCCTCCCCTCGCTCTGCCCCGGGGCAGCGAGGGGCTGCGGTGAGCGGAGCCGGGGGGGGGGAGGCGATGGGGACCGGGTGGGTGTCCCGGGGATGCTCCTGCAGCCCCAGCCGCGGGGGAGGCTCCTCCGGGGGGTACCAGCGGGGACGGGATGCTCCCGGCGGGGTGCAGGGGGGCAGCGGCACCTGGGTGTCACCGGGACTACGAGGCCAGTGCAGGACGAGTGTGACACGTGTGACCCGGGGGGCTGAGGTGGAGCAGGGGGCTGGTGGCACCTTCGGCAAGCTGCAGTCATGAGGAATTTCTGTTCCGGGAAGTTTTGGGGCCCTGGTTTGGCTTAGTCCCTCTGGGGTACCCGAAACAACACGGGCAGACACCCGCGCTCCTGCTCAGCCCCTGGCCACTCGCTTCGGGGGACCCCCACTCCCCCCACAATGGAGTGATGCTGGTCCAGTGCTGAGAGGGGGGGGGGGGTGAGTGGCCTCCTGCTCTGCCATGTCCCCTTCCCCACCGAGCCCCCCCCTTTGGCTCCCCCCGCCCCAGGCTGCTGTCCGCAGAGCCCCCCCCCAGGACGCACCGAGGAGGGTGTGGGAAGTTTGGGGGCTCCCCCGTTTTTTTTTCTCCCCGCAGGGCGCATGGAGGGGGGGGGCTCTCCCGCTGAGGCGCGGCGGGTGCCGCGGCCCCCCGAGCAGCACGGCCAGAGCGGCGGCCGAACCCCAGCCCCGCCGGAGCCCCCCGAGGCCGCCCGCGGCCCCCACGCCATCCTGGAGAGCAAGGTGAAGGCGCTGAAGGAGAAAAGGGGGGGCGGCCGGCCGGGGACCCCCATGGCCACCCCCGAACGCCCCTCGGCCAGGAAGCACCGGCCCAGGCGGGGAAAGGCGGGGGTGGAGGTGGCGGCGGAGCCGCGGGCTCAGCTCCGCACCTACCTGACGGACGGGCTGCTGGATGGCGGGGAGCCCACGGCCGGTGGCCCCCCAGCCCCCCGCGCCGGCACCCCGGGGCTCTGGAGGGTGCCGGCACCCAGGGGGGACGCGCTGGGAAGCACCGAGCTCCCTTGGGATGAGAGCAGTGGGTGCCGGGGCTCTGCCTCCCCCCGTGAGAGACCCCCCCTGGAAGAAGAGGCGCGAACCCCGCCACGGGACCCGGGGGGTCCCTCTGTGTCCCCCACCGTGGCGGAGGGCTGGGACAGGCTCTCGCTGGCCGAGCGGGTGGAGAGGAACCGGCGGCTGCTGCAGGAGGTGCTGGGCCTCGCCGTGCCCGGTGAGTTTTTCGGTAGAGCCGAGGGGAGCGGGAAAGGAAAAGCTTTGGGGTGAAGGGGGGTCCTCAGGGCCGTCCTCCAGCCTCCCCCGGGGTGCTGCATCCCCTCCACCGGCCGCTGTAGGAGGTGCCCACAAAGAAAACCGGGTGCTGCTTCACCGGGATGCTGCCGGGCCCCTCCGGCGTCCCGGAGACGAATTTTACTACTAAAAACAAGAGCAAGAAATCTGCTTTCTGGGGGCACTCGAGGTCTGCGGGCATCATCTCCCCTTTGCAAGCTGCCACCAGAAAAATAAATTAATTTCTTCTTCGAAAGCATCTGCCCTAACAACCCCGCCATCCCTATCCCCACCGGCACACCCCACTGGGTGCTGTTGCCCCACGTCCCACTCCTCTGGGGTCTCTCCAGAGCCGAGCAACTGGGATAGCCCCAAAATAAGTGTGGGGCTGGGAGTACGGGGGGTGCTACTGAGGGGGAGCGGGGCAGGGGGGGCACACAGCCCAGCCAGGCTGATGCTTTTCCCTGTCCTGCATTTCAGAGGTACCAGCAAGCGACGGGGACTGGGACTCGGGGGTCTCGCTGCAGGACGCCGAGGGTTGCAGGTAGGTCAGTCCTGGCGTGGCAGAGATGGACATTTCCCTCTTTTTTTTTTTTTTTTTTTTTTTATTATATTTTTTTTTTCCCTCCACCTTCCCCAGTCTTGTATTTTAAATGCACCCTGCAAAGCAGCGCTGGGGAAGGGCTGTGTGGGGGCGAGGGGGGCAGGAGGGTCAGGTCGAGCCGGGTGTCCGTGTGGTGTTTGGGCGTGAGGGGGGGTCCCTGCCAGGACCCCAGGGTAGGAAGGGAGCTGGGGAAGAGGATGAGACAGAAATTTGCTCCAGGTGCTTAAGAGGATCGAGGCGGCAGGCGTGTGTAATCTTGTTGGGCTAACGATAACCCTTAGAGGTACAGACTCAAAATACGGAGGTGGGATGGGCAGGTGGGGAGGGGGGCTGGCGGCTCGGAGGCTGCGTGGGGGAAGGAATTGGGGGGAGGGGGAAGACCCCCCCCCCCCGTATCGTGGGTACTGGTTCTGTGCTGCTCCGGCAGCCGGGGATGCTGTGCTCCCCGTGAGCAGGGGCAGCCAGAACCCGGGGAGGGGGGGGAACCCTGGCCCCCCACCCCCTGGTACTGCACAGGGGGCTTTCGTGGGGGGCCGGTGTGCGCCCACCCTCCTGCTGCGAAGAGCTTAAGGCCGGGTTCCCCGAAGTGACTGCCTGAGCTGATTATTTTAATCAGAGGGATTAGGGCCATGGCCAATGGGGGAGGCAGGGCTGTGCCCTCCCATCGCTGCCGGAGCCCCCACCCCACGGCCGGGGGGGATGGGGGGGGGGGGGGCAGAGGGCCGGGGGGAAGACCCCCTGCGAGGAAGGGAAGGCAGCAGAATCGGGGAGATCATCCCAAACCCACCTGCGTTCGCATCGCGGCGGGATTTACACCGGCGGGGGTCAGAGGCGGTGCCTGCCTCAGTTTCCCCCCCTCCACCTCCGGCACATCCGTGGTGCAAAGCGCTGCCTCGGCGGAGCCGGTGCTGAGCCTCCCTCCAAAGCATCGCCGGCGTGGGGTGCGTGTCCCCAAAACTCCTGCCGGGCAACGGGGGGGGGGGGGGGGGGGCTCCCGCTCGGCCGTACCCCGGCACGGCAACCGGCCCGCCGGCGAATGGAGCCCGGGCCCTGTTTTCTCTGAGCAGAACAGCCTCGTCGTCACCGTTAAACCACATCTAATCCCTGGGTTGGTTTTTTTTTGTTTTGGTTTGTTTTTTTCCCCTAATCCCTCTCCCCCGCCGCGGGGGCCGCAGGGCCTTTGTCCCCGGGCAGGAGCTCGAGCTGAGCCCGCGGCACGAGCAGGCCAAGCAGCTGCTGCAGCGCGCCCGCATGAAGGCTCGCACGAACCCCCTGCGCGCCAGCCACGACATCCTCCTCCTCCTCCCCGCCGACACCACCGGCCCGCACCCCAGGTCAGTGCCAGCCCCCCCGGGGCCGCATCCTGCCCTCCGCCAGCATCCCCCCCCCCCCCAGCCCGGGCGCGCGCGAAGCCTTCGTGGCATCGCATTTAGGGAGGGCGTGCGAGTGTGTGTGTGGAAGGGGGTTTAATTGTGTTTTATAATAAGGTGGTGGTGGTAACGCTGTGCTCCCGGCTGGCCGTGGCGGGGGGGATTGTGTTTCCCAACCGGGGGGGGGGGGGGGGGGGCTGTACCGAAGCCACGGCTCGCCGCGCGGGCCAGGTCACGTGCAATTAATAAACCTGATTAACGACGCGCTGGGGCGCAGGGGAAAGGAGATGGAGGTCGGGCTGCAGCAGGGGCAGCATCAAGCGGGCTTTCCTCCTTGCGCTGGGTTTGTCCCCGCTCTCCCGAGGTTTCCCCGCTTTGCCGGGATGCGTCCACCCGTCTGTCCCCACGCCAGGGAGCCCAGCGGGAGGCCGAGCGTCGCCCCGCGGGACGGCGGGAGCCTGAGCGACTCGTCGAGCGGGGAATCGAGCTGCGGGCGGCCGCGGCGGCCCCGGGGACCTTCCCCGTCCCGCGTCCGCTTCGAGGACGAGTCGGCCCGCGACGCCGAGGCGCGGTACCTGGAGCGGCTGCAGCTGCGGCACCGGCGGGCCCTGGCCTCCGCTCCATCCCCGCTGGAGCCAGCCGGCGGCGGGCAACCGGGAGCTGGGGTTGGCCAGCACAAAGCCCGGAGCGGCGACCTCGGGTCCGGGGGCAAGTGCAGCGCCTGCGGCTCCTTCCTCGGTGCTGCCGCCGGCCGGGGGCCGGATGCGCCGGCGGCTGCCGACGTGGCTAAAAGTGGCTCGGAGGCACAAGGAAGCCACCCAGGGGATAGCGGGGGGCTGAGAGCTGCCCGGCCGGAGCCCAAAACCAGGGCGTTGGGCCCCCGGGGGTCCCCGCTGTGGATCCTCCCCTCCCGGCAGCGCATCCACACCGAGAAGATCAAGGAGACGTACATCGGGGGCGTCACCTACATCGACGAGGGGGACTCGGCCCTGGAGAGCACCGACACCTCCGACGGCTGCCGCACGGACAGCGAGGAGGCGGGACCCCGCAGCCCCCACCCGCGGGGCTACCGGGACCCCCGGGCTCGGGGTCACAGGGCCCCCCGTGCCACCCCGCAGCCGGAGCTGAGGGCTGGGAAGGAGACGTGTGCGGCCGGCGGTGACCCCCGTGCAGGGGACGGGGACTCGGGTGGCACCGCAAGCGGGACGGGGGCTGTTTGCCCCCCGCCGTCGGGGAGAGCTGGCAACCGGGAGGAGGGGGACCCTCGCCGGCGTGCGGGGGGCAGCGAGGGGGTGGGAAACGCCGCTCGGCCCCCGCTGCAGCCCACTGAGCCCCCGGACCCCTCCTCGCAGCCGGGGGTTGGCACCCCGATGCCAGGCACCCACCTCCCCACTCCCCCCCCCCCAAAAAAGGCCTGCTCCCAGGCGCCTTGCAGGAAAACCCTCTTCTCCGGTGGCAGCCGCCGGGCATCGAGCCAAGGAGCCCGGGGTCCGGAGCCCGATGGTGGGGGCGCTGCGTCCCCCCAGCCCAGGGGCACAGCGGGGCCGGGGGAGCGGCGGGGTCCCTGCAGCCCCAGATGGCTCCCGGGGAGCCCCCTCCGTGCCTTGTCCACCAACAACAGCAACAACACCCACGGGCAGGACCCCCCGGGGACGGGCAGGGGTAAGAGACCCGCGCACGAGGGGTGCCTGGGGAGAGAGGGGGGGGGGGGGGGGATCCCCAACAAGGAGGGGTGGTGACTGTCTCGCTGTGGTTACAGGGGCACCGTCGCCCCCCACCATCGCCCCCCGCGTCCCAGGAGGCTGCTCGCCCCCCCGGAGAGCAGCAGCAGCAGCGGCACCCGGCCGGGAACGCGGCACCAGGGTGAGTGAGAGCCGAGGGGCCGCCGGCATCCCGCACCGTGCCGCGGGTGCTGCAGCCCTGAGCTGAGCATCCCTCCTCGGCGCAGCAGGATGGTGCCAGGCTGAGCCTTAAAACCTCCCCCCAGCCCCCCCCAAAGCTTCCCGGTGGGGCTCTACCTTTCGGCACCAAAAAAAAAAAAAAAAAACGCAATATGGGGGGTGGCAATTTTACATGTGGGTTTGTGGGGAGCAAAGTTTTGCCACGGATCTGGTCCCGCTGAGGCGGGTGGGGGTGTGTGTGTTGCAGTAAATATGAAGGTGGGTGCCCTTCGAGGTGTTTAGCTTGGTGCTGGGCCTTCCCTTTTTTGGGGGAAAATCAGCTGCTAAACGCTGCCAGCCCGGTGGCTGCCTTTGGGGGTCACCAAACCTGAAGCCTGTGTCTTTCGAGCCCTTCGGGGAGGCCTGGAAGGTGTTAAACCCCTGCAGTTCTGGGGAAAAAGGGGGTGGGGAGGCCTGGAAGGTGTTAAACCCCTGCAGTTCTGGGGAAAAAGGGGGTAGGGAGCCCTTCAGGTTGCTTTGCTTGGTGAAACCATCCCTTGCGCCTGCCGGGTTACTGCTGTGGGGAGGGGGCCTGCACCCCAATTTCTCCTCGCTGCGGCTCTCAAGGCCGCAGGATGCACCCCCAGCCTGGAGTCCTGTTCCCCACCTCGGGCACACGGTGGATGACCCTCGTCCCTCCCCGCGCCGGGAGCCGGGGGGGCAGCCAGCGAGCCGCAAGGGCAGCAGCGCTTCGGCGTCGGGGTTGAAAAAGCTGCTGTGCAGCCTGAGCCAGAGCACCAAGCAGCGCCTGGGCCGCTTCCGCTGCTACAGCATGGAGCAGCTCCCGGCCCCCGGCGGCCCCCCCCCCCGACAGCCCCGGCATGAAGAAGTCGCCCTCCCTGCAGTCCCTGAGGCTGGTGAGCTTGAAAGGTCACCCCGTGCCGGTGCGCGGTGGCCGTGGCTGAGGGGGGGGGGTGTCCTACAGGAGGGAGGGTGCTGGGGTTGGGGTGAAGCTTTGATGGCCTCAGAGGTCCTGGGGAAAAGGGGGGGGGGGGGGGGGGTTGGGGGCCAAACCTGCTGGGTTTGAAAAATCTGGAGCCAAATGGGGAGCGGAAGAGGTTTTGGGAGGGGAGATGAGGGGGTAATTCGGTTTGGGGTCATGGTTTGTGTGTGGCGGCCAGCTGAGCAGTGAGGTGACCACCCCCCCCCACCCTGAGAAACCCCATTCCTTGGGTGGGTGTCCTTGCCCAGGGTGGGGGGCACTGGCTTATCCCACCTCAGCGGCACTTTCGGGAGGGCTCTGGTGGTGGGGGGGGGGGGGGGAGGACACGGGTTGTGAGGTGCCCCCCACCCCCTCGGTGGGTGCAGGGTTGCAGTGCTGCGCAGTGTTTCTGGTTGTCCCCAGCTCAGCTGAGCGCTTTTAAAATTTACTTTTTATTTGATATTTTCCCCCAGGTGTCACCTTTCTGCCAGCCCCGAAAAGCCGCCTCCATCCAGAGCCTGCACCCCCTCCTGGGCAAGGCACCCCGCGCCAGCGCCTATCTCCTGCCCCAGCCCGCAGCCGACAGGTACGCCAGGGCCCGGCGTGACCCCCCCCCCCCCTCCCTGGGAGGGCTGTTTCGGGGTGCTCAGCCACAGCCGGGGTCCCCCGTCTCCCCTCTCCCCGCAGGAAGGGGGGCTCGGGGCCGCGGCGCTCGCTGAGCGTGGAGGATATCGGGGCGCCCGGGCGGCTGCGTGCGGTGGGGCGGGTGGTGGAGGTCTTCCCCGACGGCACCAGCCAGCTGGAGCTGCAGCGACCCCCCCACGGCGCCTTCGGGTTTTGTGTCACCTCTGGGCACGGCCGGCCTGACACAGGTACGGGGCAGGGGGGTGTCATCCCAAAGTGTCCCTTCCCCAGGAGTGAGCTTGGGGTGGAGGGGGCTGCTCCATCCCTGCTGAGCCCCAGAGGGGTGACGGTGGCTGGGGGTGTCCTTGGTTTGGGATGTGCAGCCAATACCCCTCAAAAAAAAAAAAAAAAACATTTATAGCGAGTCGGTTGCTGCACGCAGGCCCCGGCCGTGGGGTGCAGGGGATTGGGGGGGGGGTGGGGGTTCACCCACGCAGCCCCCCCCCATCTCTCTCCGCAGGTGTCTACGTGCAGGAGATGGCAGACGCCGGCACGGCCAAGCTCTACGCGGGGCTCCTGGGCGTGGGGGATGAGATCTTGCAGGTCAACGGGGTGGCCGTCTCGGGGTTGGGGCTGGCCCGAATCCGCGAGCTGCTGCTCCGGGCGGACACCCTGTCCCTCCGGGTGCTCCGGCAGCGCCCGGCGCCCCAGTAGCCCCGAAACCCGGCGGGAGGAGGACGATGTCCCGCCGACAGCCCGGGATGCTGCAGGCCGGCACGGCACGGGGCGGAGCGAGCCGGGACCTGCCCTGCTCCGCTGCGATGCTCGGGTCCCCGCTGCGGTGGGGACAGGCGGGTTTCCCGGCCCCCCCCCCCCCCCCCCCCAGTATCTTCAGGAGCTGCTCCAAGTGTGGGGACAGCCCAGCCCTGCCACTGAGCTGGTTGGCACTGGGGGGTGGCCAGTGTGGGGACGCCCCATCCCTGCACCCCCAAGAGTTGTGGGGTTCCTGGCCACGGCGGGAAACCTGTGCCTGGGGGCTGGTGGGCTTCTTTTAAATTATTTCAAATGGGAAAAAAAAAAAAAATATATAAATCTATGTAATTGTGAAACATGGTGCCCTTGGCTTGTGGGAGGCATGGAAGGTGACACTTGGCCAGGGGGTCAGGACATGCCCCAGCCCCGGGGTTGCGGGAACTGGGAGCGTGTGGGTACCTTCACGGGGGGCTGAGCCCCCCCCACCCGGGTCGGTAGAACCGCAGTGGGTGGCTTGTCCGGGGCACTGAACTCATGTTGTGGCAGGGGGTGACATCAGCTGAGGGCAGGAGCATTTTGGGGCTTGAGGACCCATTTGGGCTGCGAGGTGGGGATATGGGGAGAGGATGGTTGGGGGGGTCTCCTGGGGTCAGTGCTCCCCCAGAGAGCTGTGCTGGGAGGCTGGGGGGGGGGGGATGTGTCTGTAAGTACCCATCGCTAGAGGGGTCTGGTTTGGGGTTTTGATTTTTTTTTTTTAACAGCCACGGAAGGGGAAACTCACGCCGCGGCGCCGGGGCGGCTGCGCTGGGACAAGCGTCTCCGGCAAGCGGGGGGGAGGCACGGCACAGCAATTGGCTGTGCCCCCCCCCCCCCCCCCCCCCCCCCCCACCCCCCATCTGGGCAGCAGCTGCCCGCAGCGTCCCCCCCCATCTGGGCAGCAGCTGCCCAGGGGGGACCCCAGAAACCACAGCTGCCGCTTATGCCTTAATAAGCCAGGAGGGTGACGGCGGGCAGATGCTGTGGGAGCTTTTCTGGCTACTTGGTGCCAGGAAACATCCCCCCCCGCCCCCCCCCCAGCGAGGGTCACTGCGAGAACGAGAGGTGATCTCTGCTGCGCCGCGCTGGGCAGCAGCAATGCCTTTATTTAGTGTTAAAGGGAAGGGCACCACCAACACCAGGAAAAAAAAAAAAAAATTGTACACAGGCGAAGGGACCGAAGCCAGGGTGGTGGCTTGCGGTGAGGTCGCCCTCCGGCAGGACGCGGGGTGAATGAAGGAGTGGGGTCCCGGAGGGTCCACGACCACGCTGGAAATAACGTGGGGATTGGAGGTGTGCAAATACCGGCGAGCCCCGCTCCCTGGAACCTGCTCTTGGAGAGGCATTGAGCCCAAGGAGACCCTCCGGTAGCCAGCCCCGGAAAGGAGCCACCGCGTTATTTCTTGCCAAACCAAAACCCGAGGTGCTCTGCGAGGATGAAGAGCAACTGCTGAAATAATTAGTGAGGGTTGGCGCTTAAGGGCGCGTGTGCGTTAACGATGAGAGCACCCGAGCGAGCGGAGGCTGCGGGGCAGCTCGGGGCTCGCCCCCGCCTCGGAAGGCACGGTGTCTGCAGGGGGGGGGGACGGGGAGTGTCACACCGCTGCTCGAAGGGAGCCACAGCCCCGGCGGGGTGGAGTGTTCAGTCCGGGCTCAGCACCCCGGAGGTAAAGCCGTCTGGTGGTGAGCTTCCCGCTCAGGGAGGCTGATTTTCAGGGGTGATTTGCCATTTCAGCGGAAGTCTTAGCGTCAGCACCGATTAACATCCTCCCCCGGCCCCATCTGAGACCCAGATGGGAGGCGTAAGCCAGCCCGGCCCCAGTCTTTCAGTGTTTGCAACTTAAATTACGGGAGCAGACTTTAGTAAGAAACTGGTTTTGCTTTCCTGAAGAGTCACCCCATATCCTGCAATCGGTGTTTGCGGCGCAAACCCCCCCCCACCACCACCACCACATTTCTCCCCAGGGTTAACTGCCAAGGTGGGCTTTCTTCACCACATTTTGGTATCGACCACCCGACTAACTCCTGATTACAAGGGAGACGATTAGGCTACCTGACACTGCTGAGGCAACCCGAGTGACAAACAACTCAAAGGTAACAAAAGGGCTGGGACGTAATACAGAAATGCGACGTAGCTTTGAATCTCCTGCCTTTTGGTTGCTCACAATGGAGGTGTCCGAAAAACAGCAGTTGGGAAAAATGAAGACATCCTATTTACAAGTTCATATGCACTTAAAATACATAATTAAGCTCCGTTCCTCTGATAATGTGTATCGTACATCCGCAGAGAGAACGTGGCTCGAACGGTCATCAAAAAAATCTTTAAAGTTTTGTTTTGTTTTTTTTTTTTTTTTCCTTAAAAAAAATAAGTTATTTTAGACCTGACAAATCACTTGCCAAAGGGAAGCAGCTGTTAAACAGAAGCAGTTACTCAGTTATACAAGGGCAAAGAAAGCATCAGTCAATGAGCTTTAGAGGCTTGTATAACGACGGAGGCAATTTTCAAAAGCTTTAAGAAACTCGCTCTCCAGCGAATGGTTGTTTGCCAGCTTTCAGAGCATCAACCCACGTTGAAAGCTCTGGGGTTTCTATCCGCGCCCGGGCGAAGGATGGGAAGGCTCTGCCACGGGCTCGCCGCGGCCCGGGGGGAGGACGGAAGGCAGCGTGGGGTTTCCCACCACCCGCTCCTCCCGGTAATGCTTCTGGCTGGCAAACACCCGCGGGGCCGGCAAGGTGGTTTGTAATGCTCAGTGAATTCATTAATTGCCCCCCCCCCTCCCCCCCCCGGCTCTCCCCGGGCCCGTCCTCCCCAGGGCTCGCTGCTCCGTGTCCCCATCCGACCGCAGGCAGCTCGGGACCGCTGCAACCGGCTCCTACCTGCACGGGGTGGAAGCGCAGGGGGGCGAGTTCCCCCCCTCCAGGTCCAGATCGCGCCCCAGCGAGGGAGGAGGCAGCTCCAGTCCTCAGCCCCCTCTCCCCGGGGCCAGGTGAGACGCCGGCGGAGCCGAGCCGTGGTCCTCAGAGGAGAATGGTGAGAGCTGGGCGCGGGTCTTCTTGCCGGGGATCTCTGTGGGCGGACGGAAACGGTGAAAGTTTCATTTCCCCCGTGCTACGAGGGCGAGGGGGCGGGGAGGGGGGGGCGTCCGAGGAAGTTCAGTCCATCACAGGATGAAAAACAGGATGAGCACCACCAGCAAGATGACGAAGAGGATGATAATTGCACACCACTGCTGTCGATCTGGAAGGAAAAGGAAGCGTCAGTCTTCCTGCTTTAAGAGGGAAGGAAAATCGGGAGAGCGCTTTCCTTCACTGTACTGCTAAGGAGCCCAACTTGAGCTTAAAGAAGCCATCAAAAGCCAAAGCAGCAGCAGCTTTGGCAGCATGCCCCACTGCAGCCCACGGGGCGAGAGTGTCTCTCCTCCAGGATACATCTGGTTTTGGGGACAGCTGCGGGAATTTTTGAGGCTTCTCCCCAACCAAGTTCAAACAGGCCGGTTCAAAAGCCACCGGGAGGAACAAGCAGAGAGCTGCTGTGTGTCGCTGCTCCTTTGTGGAGGAGCACCATTCCTTAAAGGAACAAGAAGAGGGGTCTGGTGAAAGCCGCTGGAAAAACAGCTCTGCCAGGAGGAGCTTGTGGCAGCTCTCCTTAGGAGAGGGCCAGGACGGAGGTTTCTCCTGGCTGTCTTTACACCTCGCCGGCCCCGTGCGTGCTCTGCAGCAGCTCGACGCTGCGTCGCCCCCGAGAGCTGCCCTCTGGCCGCGGCGCCACAGCCCCCCCGCGAGACGACGGTGCAGCAGCAGCGGCAGGGACAGGGCTGCTGGCACCCCCCAACTTCGGGGCACAGCAGCAGTTACCCCAGGAAGAGCCTTCCCGGTCAGCCCCGGCACGTGGGGCACCGGGGATAGCAGGAATGCTCTCTCACAACTCCCGGCAGCACCCTGCAGCGATCAAAGCGGTTTTCCCAGAGGGATCCAAGTGTTTTTTCCTAGTTGTGCTGCCCCAAAGAGCACCGTCAGCGCTCCAAACGGTCTCCCTAAGGCCGTGTTTCCACAACCTCAAAAATACCACACCACTCCCCCCGGCCAGCCTCATCCTGCAGAGCGGGGAACCCTTCTCCTCCCGCCTCGCTGCTGCCTCCACGAGGGACCCGAGCACCCAGGGGAGAAGGGTGAGGGAGGAGGCGAGCGCCGGGCGCCCTGCCAGCGCCCCGAGAGGCGAGCGGGCGGCGGGGGGACTTCCCGGCAGGCACGCCGGGCTTCCTGTTTGCTCTGCCCCGCCAGCCCACCGCTCTCAGGCACAGCCTTATAAGGACTTTTCTCATGGGTTCAGCCTCCCCCCGGGGCACAGAAATCGCCTCTTTCCTCTGTCAGCTGAGAGATATAGCTGACCGCTAACAGGCCAGCAGCCCGAGGGCAGGTGGGATTTGGGAAGGAGCTTGCCACGGGCAAGCCTTTGGTGGTGGGCGGAGGGGTCAGAAGCCAGAAGCCACGCACAGCAGCGAGTTGTTTTAGGGCACCTTGAAAGCTTTTGTTCCGCAGGCAGCCTGGAAAACTGCAGCGGAGCAGGAGGCTGCAGCTCTTCCCCTCCTATCACCTAGAGGGGGGATTTTCCCACCGCAGCAGTAGCAGCATAAATAGAAAGGCATCTGTAAATAAAACAAAGGCAAAGGACAGGCTGCAGAGCGGTGTCTGGGCAGGAGCAGCTGCAGGGCTTGGAAATCTTCCCTCTTTTTCAAGCACTGCTGCCTCCCCTCTGGTCGGGTCCGGGCTGGCTGTCGGTGGGTGGGAGCACATATCGTCCCCAGCCCGAAGATCCGAGGGCTCGTCTCCCTCTTTTCAGGGCCGGATCCCACTTCCCCAGGACCTACCGCTCGTCATGTGAGACACTTTGGCCAGCTTCTTCATGACGTTATCAAGCCGCGACTGAGTGCTGTCTAACTCGTGGGAGAAGTCGTCCAGCATCCTGGGGGCAGAGAAGCACGGCACCCGTCAGCAAGCCGCGCGCCCCTTCGGGATTTCTCAGCGCTCTCGCACGCGCTGATCGAAACATCGATGCGATTAGTGTATCGCACCCTGGCGGAGAAACAACGCAGCCCCGTCTCCTGAAAGCACCCAAGGTGGGGAACAAAAACCAACAAAACTCTTGAAGCAGCAGCTCTGCTTCGGGGGAAAGTGGGAAGTCATTTGGGACTCCTGTCGGACTGGTCCCCCCTGCGTGTTAGTGGCTGAGCTCTGTGTGCCGCTGCAAGGTGAGGAGTGGGCTTTTCCCTCCTTTTAAGAGGAAAGTCTCATTTATAATCTGTGATTAGCAGAGACTGGTTAGATAGATCTAGGCGCCAGCTTGGACTTTAAAAATCTTTTCTTGTTCAGGGCTTGCAGTTGAAGCTAAAACCTTGTTCCACTCACGTATCAAGCAGGAATGAGATTTGCAATTGCTTTTAAGGTGCTTTTTTAAGCTCTGCACGGAAGTTACCCCTCTACTTCCTCCACACAGCGACTGTAATGAATCTGAAAGCCTTCCTGAAGCTGTGCTTTGTCAATGCCAAGAACCCATTTGAAGAGAAACGAGCACATCCAGAATCAAGGTACCAATCTAATTGTCTCCAGCCAGCAGGACTTTAAAGCTTAATAGGTTTGAAAGGACAGCTTCCTTCATTTGGAGTTCTAGGGCACTTGTTAAACCTTTGTTCAGTGGGGGAAAAGGAAGGAGTTGTAAAAAAAGGATTGCAGTAGTTATCTGCTACTGTCCTAGCAAGCACTGATGGTTTATGTGATGATACGGAAACGGACACACCACACCGATCTGCTGCGGTGAGAGGAGAAGACTCTCAAGACTCTCGTGCTGCAAGACTTCATACGGGAGGTGGGTTTAAAGTTCCTCCTCTCCATCAAAGACAGCATCGCTTCACAAGGGGCACAGCCCTGCAGACTCCTACCAGCCAAACAAGGAGGGCTTTCAGGCACGAAGCCTGCAAGCCTCTCTGCAAGCGGTAGCTGCTAGCCTGCATAACTGGAAACTTTATGCACTTGTTTGCAAAGGACAAGAACGGGGAAAGAAATCTAATTTGTATGTAAATGGTGGATGCAAACGACTTTGTGAGCTACCCTTTAACCCTTTGTGTGGGTGAGGGTTATTTTTAGCTTTAACTATGAATAGCAGCTCTGTGCTGCATGTCTCGGAGGGGCAAGGCAGAGCTGAGAGCTCCCTGGTCAAGCAGTTATCAGGGGCAGCACAAAACCCTGTGGAGTGGGGAAGCGCCCAGTATTCCCATTACACAGCACCTCCCTCCCTCATCTGTTGGGTGCTGCTGGCTGGCTGAAACCAAGGAGCTAACTCTGTGCCTTAGGGGGGTGTGTAAAAAGGAGAGAGAAGGAAAGATAAACCGGCAGCTAAGCCTGCCCTAGGTGCAGGCTTTCAAAGGAACGAGATTGCGGTTGGATCCTGGCAGGCTGCAGTAAGCAATGCTTTCCACTGCCTAAAAGCAAAGGCCAGCTAGGAGTGGCTGCCTGAGGGACTTGTAAATTCAAGGCCGTTAACAGGGGCAGAGATAGGCGTGTGAGGACCTCCAGCTGTGTTGCAGCCAGCCCCTTACCGGGTTCTCGGTGCCGCGGCTCGCACTTACACTGCTTGCTCCTCCAGCTCCCCGCCGATGCGCTGGGACATGTTCTTCAGCACCCCGATGCTGCCAGAGACCAGCTCCAACTGCTCATCTTGCTGCTCCACAATCAACTGGGGCCAAAAAGAAGGGAAACGGGCAATTACAGGTCTGCCACCTCCTGAAGCCGGGTTAGAGCCAGATGATCCAGCGGACAGCTGGGCCAACATCGGCTGTGGGGCCTGGGCACAGATCGAAGCCACCGGGAATGAGGACCGCGTTCCCAAGAAATGCTGGGGAAGTGAGAGCTGCAGGAAAGCCTCCCTAGCATGGCACCTCTGCAGCGCAGCAGGCTGCGGTCTCCTGACACCCCTGCAAAGCCAGCCTCAGGCTCTGCCAAGCCTCCTCCCTTCCCTGCTAAAGCGACTCTTGAAAGCCACAGGGGCTGGTCGTCAAACATTCTGCAAGACCCCTGCCCGCAGCAGGAACGGCACCAGGGAGCCACACTGATGCTGCGCCCGGGAAATGCAGCCTGGCACATGCTGCAGCTAACAAGAGGTTAACACAAGTAAAAAGTTGTTGCAGCTTCTACAGCTAAAAATAGCAAGCCTGGCTCCGGATGTGCCAAAGGAATAGGTCTGCTGATGTTTTAAGTCATTTTCGGGGCACAGTCACGCTAAGGATTAAATCTACCCTAGTTACCCATTTCTGAATCTATTTATCTTCCTAAAGTCACTAGGTAAGACTTGTCTAAAAGCCAGGGAGGTATCACAGGTCAGGAGCTTTAGCAGAGTTTGCCACCTCCAAGAAGCTACTTGTTTAAAAGCCTGTGTCTGGGTGGGCTGCTGTACAGGCTGCCCTGGCCCTTCTCCAGCCCGACTCCCCCGGCAGCGGGGAAGCACCTCACCAGGGGTTCGGCAAAGCCCTCGCACAGGCTTTCTCACGAAGCTCATGTTGACAAAGACAGGAAAAGGAAGCAGGCACGTGCTCCTGCTCCTAGCCTGTTTGGATGAAGATGCACACAAACAGCAGCAAACAGCAGCATTTTTCAACCAGGGGAAGTTGCACAAGAGAAACAGGCTCTTTTCTGTCTGCAACGTTTCTACTCTTCCGAGGATTTCAGCAATCGACGTGGTATTAAAACTTGGCATGCTACATCTTTCAGATCATGTTGTTCGCCTTCTGTACAGAGCAGAAGGCCCCAGCCTCAAGGGTCAAAAACTCTGCACCAAGACGCAACCAAAGCTGTTCTGTACAAGAAATGAGTGCAGAGGTATATGCTGCAAGCAAAGAGGAGGGCTGTCAGGCTCCTGGATCCAGACCAGACAAGGACTGGAGTTCTTTTTTGGCTCCCGCAGCCCATACCTCATCCCCCCAGCACCCATTTGGCAAGCAAAGCTACTTAGACCGTACAGTGCCAGTTGTTGCTTTACCTGTTGTTGAGCTTGCTGCTCCTCGATGAAGTGTGAATTTGCTAATTGCAGCTCCCGGTCCAGACGGCTGTATTTGTCAGGTCCAGAGCCCCAGCTCTGACTCCCACTTTCTCCCAGGAGTGCCTAAAGAGATGCAGAGAGCCCTTAGCAACATCATCCTTTTCCTCCTGTTTTATTGCTACTCAACCACCGTGCTATCACGATCTCAAACACCACAGTGCCCAAATGCCAGCCTGGGAAGTCTCTGCAGCCCGATATTGCAAATACGCTTCTCCAGGAGCAGGAGAGCTGGAGTACGACCGACAGACGGTGCGCGCAGGAGGCCTGCACAGCACAAAGGACCAGCAAAGGTCTGCTCGAGAGGCAGCACTGTGTGCTAGGACATGTAGGCTGGGAAGCACCCGGATATACCGTGTTAACAGATGTACAGCTTGAACTGAATGCTGCGGGGCTTAAGAGGGTCTGGATAAAGTATTTAACCAGTTGAGCTGACAGTAAAGCAGTGCAATATGTAACCACAGCAGTGTTGTATGCTCACGTTCTTTGATTCAGGCTACCTGTTCCTCCGGCACACCATGCAGTTGCCAGCATACAAGATGACACTTGCTACTCGCTCTGCAACCCGAATGGGGAAGCCTGTGCAAAGCCAGCAGAGACGTGGCTTTCCAGCTGAGTAAGTCTGGTCCCTGGAAGGTGTGTAACATGACCAACGGGTGCTGGAGAACGAACATGGCCTGCAGGTGAGGAGCTGCACCCTGCAGCTCTGAAAACGGGTGAGGGAGCTCTGCCCACCAGCGTAATGAGACCGTCTGGTAAATTCTGGTTGCCGGCAGGAGGGGACGATCGAGTATTTGTGAAGAACATAAAGACAAGGATCAGGCTGCTCCGGCAGGCTAAAAACAAGACTGTATCTACGGTCCATCTGCCTTACAAGGTTCAAGGAGAGGTGGAGGAAAGCTGACAGATCAACCACGCAGGAAGCCAGCAAGACATCTGGCTTTGTCTGCCCCCGAGACATTGAGCGAGCTCCTGGTTCTCCCCAGTTCGTGGGAAGCGCAGCTACCGCTTATTTAACACGGTGCACTAGTTTTGCTCCAGCTTCAACAGAAAGGCCTCCGTCTGCCAGCCTTAGCCTGCCAGGGTCAGGTCGCCACCAGCCTGCCTCTCAGACACAGAGGCTCGCTGGAAAAGCTGCTGCAGCCCAGCCCAGCCCAGGCTTCACGGTCTGGAGGGAAGGCGAGGGGCTGGGGAAGGGAGAGGAAGACGGCAACGGGAAGTTGGTTTTCCTGACCAGATGTCGCCGCGCTCACTGGGCCATATGGTCTCCCGCAGCTCGCAGGAACCTTGCGCAAGGGAAAGCAGCAAAATGCAGAGACAGCTACAGGCTTGTTTGAGCAGGGCTGTAAGGGACTTTGCTTCTTCAAGTGTTTGCCAAGCACGTCAGTTAACCCCGTAACAAGCTCGGGAATCAGCTCTGCGCTTCTCAGCAGCTTGCTGCAGTTTGTCATTTTTGCCACAAGTGGTAAGGTAGATGCAGTCGGATAAATGCCTTGAACGAAGCACACACCGACTTTTACTGAGGCAGCTCTGAGATCTCTTTACAGCCGCCCTATCAGCTGGGAAGAAGCACAAGACACAACTACTTCTATTCCTTAGATTACAAGTGCAGACAACCTGAGACTCCTCGAGCTTCTTCAATGGCTGTTACGAGAGGCAGCTGTGAGAAAGGATACTGCAGCATCTTAGCTCCTAAATAGAGCAGAGCGCAGGATTACGCTCGCTGACATGGATTCCGAGTCTGTTCCCCCTGAGGAGGAGGGAGATTCCCCTTTCCGTGGGATGATGCAACACTGACAGTTGTACACAACCAGATCTGGAGACAGAGACAGATGGCAAGTGCTGACTTATTGCTTTGAGAGACAGGCTTGGAAGAGGGTGGCAGCACTGTGCCTGTGAGAACCAGCTCTGTCAGGTCAGCAAAACAGACACGGCTCAAACACACAGCTTCGCTGCAGCACGCAAGCCCCTTCCTAGAACAAAGGGTTTTAAGGAAATGAACTACAGAGGGGATGTATATTGCAATTACTGCTTTCATCCAGTTTTGATCAACGCTATACACTCTACCTTACGACGCAGGGCCTTGAAGTAAGTGAAAATGGAAGTTTCACCTAACACATACCTCAAGACACCAGCTGCCAGAGCTGATAAATCCTCCTCACTCCTTAAAGTACCAAACAGCTACTGCATTCACTTAACTTGCCTGTTTCTGCTTCTCACCTGCCTGTTTTTCCGTTCAGCCAGGGCTTGCACGGAGGAGTTTGACATCTGATCCTTCATTTCCTGTTTGTTCAACGAAAGGAGAAGTACGTGAGCATTGGATGTGAGGTGACAGGCGGTTTCAGGGTGCTACAGGGCTGCCTATATCCAGCAAGGCTTCTTTGGGGGGAGGGAGGGAAGATTTTATTTTAAAATGTACAGTTCTGAAGTGTCTGGAAGGACACTGTAGAAAGCTTCATTGCAGCTCATCGTTTTACTAATACTAGAATCAACAGCTACAGGGTATTCCTTGTTTACTTTTGCTCTACTACAGCCAGAAACATTTTGATTAGTTTAATATTAAACTAATGTTTCCATTGATAGACTGTAAAGAAGAGTCATGTTCTTCAAGGTCGTGGAAGCCTGTAACCCCCTGCACTTTATTTCCAGTTGCATCTGGTTTTATATTGCATAGGACGAGATAGATTTCCTGTCCTGTGGCCATCCTCTCTGACTGTGCCTACATTTTCTCTTTTATCAATTAAGTTTTGCTGACGAGTTCCTGTAGAAGATCGCTAGCCACAGAAGGCCCCCCACCACGATGCAGTCTAGTTTTTATAGGGTAGACTAGCAAGTAGTTAGTATGATCTATCAGAGTTCGACCCACCAGCACAGTTCTGATGTCACCAGAACATTTAGGTATGTTTTACTGTTCAGAGACGTGCAATACATTGCCTAAGAGCACCAGATCCTGCTCGGTCACTTCTCACCGGCTAATGCACATGTTGCTGTGCATCACGAATTCCCCCATGGAAACTGGAAGTCAGCTGCATAATGCCACAAAGAAATTTCATTTAACAGTAAGAGACGCTGCTCCAGAACCCATTAGCCAGCAGTTTTCAGCCAGGAAAAAGAGGACCATAGAGCGGGCTTGCCTGATCCTGCCTGTTTGGGAGTGGACTACACTGAGGGCAAGGCAGCGAGCACATGCCTGCTACCCGGGGGCCAGCATGGCTTTGGGCTCAGTTCCCAGGCAGAAGGCCTTAGGAACTGCATCCAGACCGCAGGACTGCAGGCAGGGTAACAAGCTTGCTGCCAGCTACAGCAATGCATTTTGTGAAGCAGGAACATCAGAGTCATGAGGGGCAGCAGGAACTAAGCTATGCTCAGTATCGCTATTAATAGGGAGAAGACTTCCTAACCAGCAGCTTGTTACCAGGCAGTGAAGCTTCTGGGATGATGTTTCTTCTCTATTTATTACCACCAAGTTGTTAAAATCCTCCTTTTGCTTCTGAAGTGTGAGCTTAAACTAAAAAAAAAAAAAAAAAAAAAATCTTCCCCAAGTTAAAAATAAATCTAGTGGTTGTTTGGACTGTTTTGTAGCGGTAGGAGATTGAAGTCAGCACGTCAATAATGCTGGGTTTTAACCATCTGTCAGTGTTCAAAGTGGACTCTGTTTCTGAAAACTAGCGCTACAAAAGCATGGGACAGTTGTGATTTCCTTTGACACTGAAGGGAAGACTCCAGCCTCCCCTGCATTACAGCGGGGACTTTACTCTTCCTTCCCAGTTTCTACAGGTTCCCAGGCTCGCTGTTGCAAGAGAGGTGTGAAGACTTAAAGGAGCAGCAGCAGAAAAGCAGGGTATGCCACGGGGCACCTGCACTCTCGCAGCCCCAAACCTGTCTGGGCATCCCCAGGAGGGAGCACATGGGGAAGAGGAGGAAACCTGAGAGACAGCAGGTAGCAGGCTGGTTCTCTTCTCCCCACTTCAGCACAGAAATGGCCTCAAACCTTCCTTTTTTAACCACCTCATCACTGCCCCTTGGCTTCCCCACGCTCCCGCCCCAAGCCCACGTGCCTTACCCTGACCACCTGCCGTGTGCTCGTGATGAAGGCTTTCCTGATACCCAGCTCCGTCGCATCGAGGTTGAATTTCCGTGGGTTTGCCTCAACAATGCGTAGGCAGCGAGTCAAGGAGTCCCCACTACCACTGTTGGGTACCCACACAGACGCCCAAACCCCGAGCGCGCTGCAGCGAGGGGTCTTACCAAGTGGCCACTGCCCTGTGCCTTCTGCCAAAATTTGACTGGCAAAGTGCAAAACACTGGAGGAAAAAACAGGCATGGCAGGAACATCCTGTGCAGTACACACATCAGCGTGAGATTTCTCTCTTGCATTTTTTTGGTTCTCTGATGCTGCGCAGCGCTTTCAGAAGTGTTCAGATGAACACAAGGGAAAAGGAGTATTTCTGGAAGCCAGCCTAGAGTATGACTGACTACACAGAAATCCAAATTCATACAACACAATAGGCTTTCTAGAACAAAGCATCTTAGAATATACCTTGTCAAAAGGAAAACAAAAAGGCAAAAGGAAAATCCTTTTGCTGAACGCAGTTGTCTTAATTTCTCATTTGAAGTCTGCAAAAAGCTGAGGTAAATGCAAAATTCAATCCCAAACAGTCCTGATTTCTGAAAAAAAGTAACTACTGGCAAGCACTGGTACCTAGCTATGTAGTACAACTTGGGAACCGCAGGCCCCACCTCCAAAGGGCCACAGAAAGGATATTAATTGTTTCATCCAAGTCTTCCAGGTCCCACTCAATGCTCCGCAGGTTGTTCCTGAGCTCATTAGTGGTCCAGTCGATTTCTTCTCTTGTGGCGATGGAGGGATCTTGCAAGAGCTCTGTCCACCTCTGGAAGAGCCCCTGGGCGGTGTTCACAGCTTTCTGCACCTCCCTGCAGCCGGGGTGATCAAAGAGAAGTGAAGGGATTATCACCAGTTGCTCTGCAGCAGTCACGGCACAGCCCCGTGTCCAGCTGGGCAGGGAAGCACAGCTTTCTGCCAAACACCTTTCCTTCACACGATTTTTAGTCTATTTTATAAAATAAGGATTCGCCTTGCTTACTGGACAACCCCCTCTCGTGTTGCAGCACAGTGTTGAGCAGCGACAACTCACAGGTCAGCTATTAGTGAAGGGACCTATTTTTTTAGGGGAGGTTTCTGTCGAGTGTCACGCAGGCAAGTTGGGGCAGAATGTCTGAACAAGGCAGTTCTTTGGCAATTAACGTTTTGCATTCCTCTCAACAGCTCTCCTCTGAAGACTCTTGACTACCTATGTAAGATACCCCAAGGGCACACAGAATTACAGGAACTGTCCCCACAATACAGCCAGGCAGACTCTTGAGTGCAGCACTGTTTATTTTAATTCATCATTTAAAAAATACACAGCTCTACTGGCTTAGGGAACAGAAGCCTTTTCTGCTGCTCTAAGCTTTTTGGAGATGAGTGCATTGACAGCATGGGAAGGCAGGCTTTGCTGACAGCACTCAACACTGCTTTGATGGTTTGGGGCAAGACGGTCTGTAAGTTTGGGTCACGGTTCATCAGTGTAGTTATCTGTATTTACAGACTCAGGTTCATGGGGAGCTGGCACGAGGGGTACAGACAAGACCAGACTTTGCTGGTGTGAAAGGTGGCCACCACGAGCCCGAGAGCTTGCACACAGCATCCACGGAAGATACAGGTGTTTATCCCCAGTAAAGGAAAGCAAGTTATCAGTGGCAGAAGCCCAGGACCCTGCAGGGGTGCCAGGACTGCAGTTCTCTTTACGTTACACCGTGGCCTGAAATACTCAACTCTGCTGTCTAAGCTGCAGTCTCTGGGCACCCTGACGTGTATTCCTCCTCTTCTCACGCACCCACGGCTCTGAGTCTGCCACATCTAGTGCCCTAAAGTCAGCAGCCCGCACTGAGGAGCTGGACTTTCATTCCCTCCACTATTTGCCAGCAGAAGTTTTGGGTTTTCTTCCATCTGGGCACACTTGGGGAAAGTACCCACAAGCAGGAATTTAAAGCAGAGCTGGATGTCCTCTGATGGGCGGAGTTAGGAACTCCAGGAAAGAAAAGTGAACACAATGTGGACGGCTTTCACCAGCCCCTTCCACCCCAACCAGCCGGGTAATAATTAATGCTGGGAGCGGCAGCACATCCCCTTTTCCCTCCCAGCCCTTCCCCGAACAGCACGGGAACCTCTCTGGAAAGTTTGACGGGACGTTTGCTCCCCACCCATAGCAAACTCCTATTTTTTTTTCCCCCCTTAGCACCAGTTGAACCCGGCAGAGTAATTCACCTCCCTGGGCTGCACCAGCATCCCTTCCCGCACCTCCTGCACTCACACAGCCTTCCCCGCAGCTCCTACGAGCACCTCTGCTGCTCCCCAGTGCTGTTTCACTGGGATGTGGGGCAGGCGACCGGCCCGTGGCAGAAGCTGAAGCTGGCCCCACCAAGGTGGTTTTTTGAGACTAAGGTGCTTTCACGGTATTAATTACAATTTTCCTTCCCTGCTGCCTCAACCACCTTTGGTGTGCGTTCACCTTTGTCCAGGCTCTTTACTTGCTTCCTCTCACGGCCACCATCCATACTCCAGTTTCTCCCGCAGCTTAGCCCCTGCTCCTCTCCATCTTTCCACCTGGACGCCACGGCCCTGACCTCTGGGGGAATGCAGCCCCCGAGCCCCCCCAGCCCCTCTCTGCCTGCTGCAGGGCGACGTTCCCCGAGCCACCGCCACCTCGGGGGCACGCGGGCAGGCTGTCCCCAAGCACCTTCACCCAAGACACCGCTGCACCCTCCACACCCCACTCCCCCACCCGGGGCTGCACCTCCACAAGTGGGGTGCCCTCGGCCCGGGGGAGGCCCGGGCGCGGCCCGGCACAGCGCCTCGCCCCGGGGCCTCCCGCGTCCGACTGCGGAGGCCGAGCCTGGGGCCGCCCCAAAACCCCTTCGGCCTCAGAAAGTGCGTATGGGGACGGGGCCGCCATTTTCCCCACCACCCCCCCCCCCGCCCCGGTCTCCTTCCAGAGACCCCCGACGGCCGCTCACCCCCGCACCCCCCAAACCTCCCTCGCTGCGGGGTGGCTGCACCCAGCCCATCCCCGCTCCCGGGGGACCCCCCCCCGCCCCGAGGCGCGGGGTGTCTCCCGAAGCAGCCGGCGCTCACCCCTTCACCACGAAGAAGGGGTCCTCCATCGACATGGCGCCGCCCGCCCGCCGCCGCCGCGCACCGCCGCGCCACGCCCCCGCCCGCCCGCGCCACGCCCACCCCCGCGCATGCGCACAGCGAAGGGGAAAGGGGCGGGGGTGAGGGAGCGCCCGGCGCCTCAGTCGCGCGCCGCCATGGCGGCCGGCTGAGGGGGACGGCTCAGCCTCGGCGGTGCCGGGGGTCCCAGGGTTAGAACCTGCTGTGCCCGCACTCCCCGCTCTCTTCTATCTCTGGGCTCCTTAGTAGCCCCTCTCAGCTGCGGGCACAGGTAGACCTGGTCGTAGAAAAGCGGGCGGGAGAGGCATGGTGCAGCGCTGAGGGGATGTTCCCGTATAGACACAGCAGAGCTCCCTGAGGGGTGTCCCTGCGTGACTCCCGTGGGACAGGCAGGCGCGATGGTTGATTTTGCAGAGGCTTCGCCATGAATAATTCCACCCCCCCACCCCCCCCCGCCCAATTCTTTGACCGAAGTGCGTGTCCCTGCCTATGCCTTCAGGAGGTGGCTGTGCTCCAGTATCCCCGGCAAAGGGGGAAAAACCCAAACCCCATTTGCAGAGATGCCTCTGAACTGGCTACCTCGCTGTTGCAATCGCAGCGGCCTCGCTCACGAGCGTGGGGTGGGGAGGCTGTGGCACATGTCAGACTGGTTCCTTGCAGGGTGAGAAAAGCCGCCTCCTGCTCCGGCCACCCCACGCCTGGGAACCCGCGGCTTGCCAGGCGTGGTGCAACGGGCGGCAGCTTTAGGGCTTGCGTTTGCCGGCCCTTCCTTGCTGCACCTTGGATGGCTTGTTTCCCACGCCGGAAGGTTTTGGGGTGCCAAATCCTCTGTGTTGAGTGTGGGGCGGGGGGTTCCTTCCAGGAAAAAAAACGGAGTGCGTGCCAAGGAGTCACTGGGCCAGTTTGTTTGTCCTGGTCCCCCAAAGACCTTGTACTCCCCAAAACTTCACGATCTTCCTGTGATTCTTACCTGTGCTTCATGCCCTTCAGATCTCCCACTTTTCCCGCTGCCGCTGTTCCCCGCGCTACACTGAAGCCCTCATCTCCTGCTCTGGCAGCTTTGGGCTTTTCGCTGGGATAGAGGGGGAAAACCAATGTGTTGCCAAGCAGGGGAAGGATATCTTGGGTTGGGCCAGAGCTGCTTGGCAGTTCTGGTTTCCTCCTGCCAACAGCGTCCCAGTAGAGCCCTGGTATTTACTGGGTACCCATGCCGGTTCTGCTTCGGGTGCTGCTGCACTCCACAGCGACAGTATACCCCGATGCGCTTTGCCCTTAATGACTCATGTATTGCAAACGAGTTCGGAGGTGGCAGGTTGCTCTGCGAAGTGCAGGACGCTGCAACTCGCCTGTCCGAACGCGCACCCTCGGCGGGGACACCCCTCTGAAGCAGCTTGGCAAATGCCGTGACCTCGTTGCTCCATTTTTCGGAGCCTCCGAGGGATTTGGACGTAGTAGTTCGGGTGCTTAAAGATGTGGTGTGTTCTGAGCAGTGCACTGAAGGCTATCAGGGTTAGGTTTGTTCAAACACCAGTGAAAGTCTAGCAGAGGCAGTTTGCAGTGCTCTCAGTTCAGCTCACTCTCGCCAAGGGTCCCCTGAAACCTTCGCCGTGCTGGGAATGAAAAAGAGAAAAGCTCCCATAGCCTCTTGGAGTTACTAGCTAGGAATTTCAGAAATCCTTTAATAAATTTTATGAACGCTTTTTCCCACTTTATTGAAAATGGGTTTTTTACACATTTGCGAAAAAGTGTAAAGCTACGTGGAGCTGTTGAAGGGCTGAAAATAAGGAGGCGCTACTGAAATGTAGGGAAGTTGCAAACTTTCCAGGAATAAAAAAAGACAGCCTTTTCTTTGATGCTGGAAATGCATTTACGCAATGTAGTAAATGATTTAGATTTTCACATGAAAGCCACTACAACCTTGCTGCTATGTATTTTTTAGAATGGGGGCATTTTTGCCATTTCTCGTGGGAAGCTCTGGTGTTTGGTTTGGAAGCAGCGGGGAGCGTTTCAGTAGTTTTTCGGCATGCTCGGCTAACCAATTCCTCCCTGGGAGGGGAGTGCTTGGTGCATGGCCCGCAGCTGCAGAACTGGTCAGGAAAGATCTGATTAAACACTTCTGTGCCGAAAAGCGCCAACTCGTCAAAATCCCGACCGTCTGCATGAAAGAACTGGGCTCACTGAAACTTTTATCAGGAAAATGTTTGTGGCGTGTGTGTACACGCACAGGGGTGTGTGCGATCCCATACTAGCCTGGTGCAAAGAATATGCATTTGGCATGGAAGGGATGGCTTTTCCTCGTGGGGAAAAGCTGGGTTGGTTTTAATTTGGATTTGTGAAAGTATAGGGGATTTTTTCTTTTCCCCAGAAAAGGTGTTACAGCTAAAGGATGAAGTGATAAAACAAATGGGTTTCAGATGCTTCAGTGTTTTTCCTCCTCGTTTGCATTTTTAGTGAAAGTTGTTGAAGATTTTAAATGGTGGTTGTAAGAGGAGGATTAAGGCAGTGATAACTTGATAGAAAACACTAGTCTGTAGCTAAATATTCAGTGTTGTGGTGGGCAGCGAGGGTTGGCATCAAATCCCAAGGGTTTCCATCAAATCCCACCCACTCTTGGCCCTTCTGCATTTGTAACTAGGTTTCCTGAGCCTTGCTTTTACCCATCTGTGGGGAATTCATTGTGGAGCGCAAGAGGGGCAGACGACACGAGGCCTCAGCCGTGCGATGGCACAGTGACCTGACAGCGGCAGCTCCGAGGTGTTAAAAGAAAAAAGATGCCGAGAGGTGACTGCTCCTTGCCAAGGAGGCGGCTTGGATGCTGGACGCTCCCGGTCCCACGGGCTGGAGCTGGTGGAGCGGGTTTCCTCGGGCTTGCAGTTGTCTGGGAAGGAGTGAAGCCTGACCGAAGCTTCTCCTGTGGTCGTGGCTCTCCTCCTGTTTCTGTCTCTTGTGGGCTGTCGTTGGCTAAGGAGAGCTGGTTTCATGCCATAGCCGTACCCTCGGCTGGGTTCCTAAGAGTGCAAGGCCTGTGTGCAGCAGGGATTGCAATCCCTGACTGGGCAACCAGTCAAAAATGGTAAAAATGCAATCAAGTGTGGAATAAACAAGCAAATGCAAGGTGATAATTGACGATACGATGTGGGTTGGCTATTCAGAATAAGGGTTGTTTTGGAGAAAATTAATCTTCCTCTTTGTAGTGCATAAGCAATCGGTTGTTTAATGGAGAATGAACGGGGAATTAAGTTGAGCAAAGGTGGCATTACTTTCTGTGGGGATCTCTGGGACTTGCCTGCCACAGGATGCCAGGGATGCTGAGAGCTTACCTGGATCCAAAAAGAGGTTAAATTACAGGAGTAGTGAGGTGCTAGACTGCCAGAGGCCTTGTTACTTTTTTAAGGGGGTGAAATTAGAAGGAACTTGCCCCCGGCTCCCCTTCCCCATGACTTTCCTCATTATCCTTGTGTCCGTGGATGTCCTTGCCAGGGCTCTGGGCTCTGTCACGTAGTCAGCCCCAGAAACCAGGTGAAGGACAAGGTGGCCAAAGGAAGGTCCCCACAAGAGGGAAAGGGCACAGATCAGAAGAAGCGGGGGCAGTCAGTGCCTGCTGGCAGGCACAGACGTTTTATTTTGCAGTTTCCCTTGGTCGTGGGAGGAGGGATTCGGCACAGAGAGGATCTGCTCTGTCCTTGCTGCTCTCGTCGGTGGTTGCTGCTCTGATGGCTCAAGGTTGCCTCCTGGCATGCCTTTGGACTTTTAATAAGCACGGTGTGTGGTGGGATTTGCTGGCAAGTCCCGAGAACCCCGCTCCCTGCTTTCATTAGCGGGGAGCAGAGCAGGCAGCATCTCCAAGGTTAACGGCTCCATGGCTGGGGAGTGTTATTGAGCAGCCTCCCCATCACGCTTGAGCGGGAAGCAGTCGCACAGAGGACACATCTGTGCTCTGGGATGTGCAGAGGGCTGCAGCTGTCATCTACCCACTGGCTAAAAGGAAGGTGACATTGAGATACAGGGAGAGAAAAAAAAAAAAATAATTAGGCTGAGACTCCTTTGGGCAGGCGGTCTACCCCGCGGTTTGCTGAACTGTGACTTCGGTTGTCTCCGTGCGGAGTTTGCACGATTAATTTGAGATGTTTAACCCCATGCTGGGCTGCAGGTGAATGCCACCGAGGCTGCCTTCTTCTTTAGCAAAGAGTTTGCTGGGGAGCAAATCACTCCAGCGAAAAGCTCGGGCTTTGCTGGGCAGCTGGGGGGGTTGTCTTCAGGGCTGCATCCCAGGGCTGTCCTGTTTCTTTTCCCCCGGGACACATGGCAGCCTCCGTCTTTGGAAATGGTGCAGGACCCACTGCAGGCATATCAGAGGGAGGAAAAAAAAAAAAAAAAAAAAAAAAAAAAAGAACAGGAAGGTGGACTACAATAGAAGGGTTGTCTGATAGGAAACCCCGGACAAATAAATGCATTTTTTCCCCAGGAAGCCCAAACCAGTTCCATAAAACACTGAAAGGTGTGGGGCCACATTTTTCCAAGGGAAATGGCTGCCTGAAGAAGCTGATAACTGGGAGTGGGATTTTTTTCTCCCCACTTCTTTGTGTTTGGAGAAGAGGCTGCTGTAGGAGTAGCAGGATTTCTGAGGAGCAGAGGGTCCGGGTCACAGGTCTTCAGGGGAGGAGAGGGAAATCCCAAGCCAGCGGCTCAGAGTCAGGGCAGGGAAATTTTAAATCATTTGTGCAGGGGGAATCCCAGGTCACCAGCGAAAAAAAAGACATGTAGGAGAGAGTCCTGCCCGCCTGGGGTATCTACACTATCATCTCTGCCGACGGGAAGGGGGGGTTTTAACCCTGGAAAACCCCTTTGCTTTCTAGTACGTGGCTGGGTTGCAGGCTCACACCCCACTGTGGTTTCAGGGTCGGGTGTCTCGGCGCTCTCAGAAGCTGAGGGAGCTGCTTCCTCTCCTTTAAGTTTGTATTGATTTGTTTGTATTTGTTTTGCTTGCACATTTTCATTCGGCAGTGATTAGTGGTTAGCACTCTTGGCTGTGTTTTGGGACGTTTCCCAGCTCTTCGGGCCTTATCTCCAAGTATGGATAAACCAGAGCAGTTGGGAACCCAGGGGAGATTAGTTACCGATATCCGATTGTGGCAGGTCCAGACCTCATCCATGAGAATCATCGATTTTTCTGAAGAAAAAAAAAAACAACAACCCCAAACAATCCTCCTCCCCCTGAGCCCTGCATGGGTCCCTCACAATGCAGATGTTTGTTATTCCCATCTAAAAATGAACTCGGGCTGCAGATGAATCCACGTTTGGAAATGTTCCTCCCCGTCTTGTTTCGCTTCCGTCAGCGATCCCTGGGGATGCGTCTGGATCTCCCTGGGGCTTTGGCTGTCCTGAAGCTCTGTTTTTGCTGCGGGCAGCTGTTGGGGTGAAGGCTTTTGCCCCAAACCCACGGGTGGTGAGGGGGATTTGGGTGTTTCTTTCCCGTTTTCTTCCCAGGAAGGGTCTAATTCGTGAATCCTGGTTCGAATCAAAGAGAGAGGGGAGGATGCACTGCAGTGGCGCTGGGACAGCCAAGAGAAGTGATGGGTGACCTCAGCCTGCGCTTTGAGGAGACCTCAATTTCACCGCCTGCCCTACCCGGAGGGTTTTCTACCTCTTTGCTGCAGCTGGCTTCCCCCTGGGGCCTGGGCTGCACATTTGGTGACAGCCAGGGGCTGGCAGGGCTGTGGGGACGGGGACAGGCGCCGCTGTCAAAACAGGATCTCGCTAACCACATCCTCAGCCCCAGCGCCGCAGGTCGGGGCGGCCACGCTGCGCACCAGATGGCCATGCCGGTACGGCCCCCCGTCACGCTGCTGCCACGGGGGGACAGCAGCACCCCCCGGCCGGGGTTCGGCCGCCGTATCTGGGGGCGCAGGCAGCCGGCACGCAGCCCACGCAGCCCCCCCGCCAAGACGCAGCCGCACGAATCCTGAGCGAGCTCCCCGGCGCCGACCGTCGAAGGCGGATTTAAACGCCTCCAAAAAACCCCAGTGGTGCGCGCAGCCCTCCGCAGTTATTATTTGTACCACAAGCTGCTTCCTGCCCCGAGCTGCTTTTATCTCGCCTTGTTTTCCTTTCCAGGTGGGGCCGTGGGCTCCCCGCTGCTCGGCCTCCGGGGCTGCCTCCTCCGCTGGCTTGCCGGCCGCGCTGCTGGCTGCAGCTTGCTGGCGGAGAGGCCACCTTTGTCTGCCAGCCCGTCCGCCCTCCTCCTGCTCCTCCTCCTCCTCCTCCTCCTCCTCCTCCTCCTGCCAGAACTATTTCGGGAAACAGCAGCTGAGCCGGAGGATTGTTAATTGTTCGACAAACCCCTTCCAGCCTGGTTAGATCACATGCGGAGATTAGAGCGCCCCGTCACACCCTTCCCTCCGCCTCCTCCTCCTCCTGTGTCCCCCCCTGACCCGCAGGGATGGGGGGCAATGCCCCTTCTGTGGGCTCACAGACGGACACGAGGCGCGTCCGGGATGCTGTCCCCACGGAGGTGACGGCTCCCACGCCGTGCCGAGCCGTGGGTTATCCCGGAGGTGCCGAGCCGTGGGTTATCCCGGAGGTGCCCCGCTCGGAGGGCAGCCCCAGCAGGGTCACCCACCAGCGGGGACCGGCTCCGGGTGCAGGCGGGAGCCCAGGGCAGGCGGACAGACAGACAAAGCCACTCCAGGCGCTGACCTCAGAGGCTGCCATGTGACTGCCTCAAACTTACTAAAGCATGACATCAGCCTGGGAGGGAAAGGCAGGGGCTGCCACCAAAATACTGCTCGGCTTAAACAGGCTGCCTGTACGGCCTCTGCCTGCGCTGCTGCCGGTCCTCTCCTCCCGCCTTCCTCTTGGGAAAGCAGCCTTCCTCCCGTCTCTTTGCAAAGGGCACGGAACGCAGGCAGGGGCAGGGCAGGTGCCAAGGCAGGGCTTTGGGAATAAGACGTGCTGCGGGTTGTGCCTGACACCAGGCACGGTGTTGGTGGGTGAAACTACCGCGTAAGTAGCTCTTGCTGTCCGACGGTGTGCGCCTCTGCTCCTCCCTGCCGGCACCCAAAATCCCCTGTCTGAGCACTAATAGGGATGAGGGACCGCTCGGTACCCGTCCCCATCGTGCTTTTCCCAGGGGAGGGGAGAGGCTGCCAGCCCGCCGGCTCCTAGGCAGGGCAGGTAGCCAAAACCTGGCCACCGACCTGGTGAGAAATGGTGCCTCATGCCGCTGGGGTGAGGTGGCGAGCGGCAGAACAGGTCGGTCCGCTCGGATCCAGGCATCTTTACTCAGCAGAGCTTTCACACCGTGTGTCTCCTCCACCCGCATTCGGCTCTTTCCAGCCGGTGGGGTGGCTTCACACCGCTGCTCGTCATCTGCATCCGAGTTGGGAATGTGCCCAGCCGAGACGTATCAAACCTGGCTGTATCCTTGTAACCGGGATCATCTCTGCTGAGTGAGGACGCGGGTGCTCGGGTCCTGCAAACAGCCGTCCCGGAGCAACGTGCCTGGTTTTGCAGGGGCACAACCAAAAGCTCTGCTGCCGAGCGGGCACCGGTGGCAGGCAGACGTGCCGGCTGCGGGCGAGGAGGCGTGACTGCCGTCCCAAACATCCGAGCCCAGACCTGCCCCGGCTGGTTAGACTGACCCGAGGGCTTAGGCCAGGGTGTTGCCGGCCCTCCGAGGCTCTGGGAGCAGGTTCGGCGGGTCTGGAAACCTTGGGTTCCCAGCGCCAGGGCTCGCGTCCCTCCGGCCTCCCACGCCGGGCGTGGGGGGGACAGCCCCACTCTCTGCAGCCGGGAGAGGCTCGCCCCAGCACGGGCAGGGGGGAAAGCCGAGACCGGCTGTTTTGGCCGGCGTTTTGGCCGTGTGGTTGAGCGCGCTCGGGTCCAGTTGTTTAAGAGAAAGCATAGCAGGTTTGTGCAAGAGGAGGTGAGCATTTTGAGGTGTCAGCCCCCAGGTTGACACGCTGTGGTGTTCGACATCCAGAGAGCGGCATTTGAGGTTTTCCAGCTGCAGTTGAGCAGGAGAAAGACATGCATTTGGTCTGAGTGTGGGTTTGTTTTTATTTTTTTGGGGGGGGGGGTGTGGGTCAAGGCTCTTGGCATGTCAACATCTTGATGTGGCTGAATCCTCACCTGGTTTTTGTTACCGCTGTGACCAGCCACCCCCTTGCCCTCACAGCACGTGTGTACTGCCTGTATTGGCACAGGACGTGGTGGTGGATCCTGCCAATAAAGCATCGCGACAGTCTGCAGCTCTCTTTTTGGGGGACAAATCCCTCAGTAAAAAAGGAATGGAAGCGAGTTGTCATGTGCCAGCTGAGAATGGGACCCGATACTTTGGGGGCGGCACTCTGAACTTCCTCAATTTTGGGCCCTTTCACTTCTTGCCACCTTGCAGACGGTGGCTGGTCCTCGGTGGAAGAAGGAGGGTCCCCACTCCAAGCCCTGAAACACCCCTCGAACTTTCTCGGAGGCTTCCCAGGCGCCTGGAGCTGTGGCTGGGGGGGTGGGTTGTCCCCTGTGGCCACCAGCCGCCAGGCTGGCCCTGCCACCGGGATTCTCGGCTACGGCAGAGCGAGGTTTCAGTTCCCAAATGAAGCGCTACCGCGGGACCCATCACCCCTGGAGATGCCTGTTGTCCTCCCCCCGTCCCCCCTCGTAGCCCTTCCCACCCCTGTCCTGCATCTTCCTCTTCCATCTCGGGGATCTCCAGGAGCTTTGGCTGCCAGACTGCTGGCTTTCTGCTCGATGTCGGGGCAGATTTTCCTCCAGCCGACGCCAACACCGGTCCCTCCTCTAACACGACAAGACGCCAGAGGCCGGTGCTGAAACTGGGGGAAACGTTTCTAACCCGCACAAAAATGAGGTTGCTCTTGGTTTGGGTTGTTTGTTTTGTGTTTTTATTTTGTTTGTTTGTTTGTTTGTTTGTTTTTTTCCCTCCGCCAGAAATATTTCAATTGTTTTGGCCAAAAATTCCCACTGCCGGTCTGATCGAGCCACCGTGGGGTGCGGTGAAGCTGGGGTGCTGCAGAGCCCGAGGTGCTGCTGCTGCTGCCGCCGCCGGGCGGGCCCCACCAGCCTCCCGGGCGCTGGCGTTGCCGCTTTAAGAGCCCTCTCCGCGGGGCGAGCTTTCGAACCCGCTCCCCTGCCTCGCTATTGGCCGGCGCGGGCGCGCGGGGGCCAGCCGGCGGTTGGAGCGGCCGGCGGGGCGCCCTGATTGGCCGGGGCGGGGGGAGTATAAAAGGCAGCCGGGCGCGTGGGCTCCCCTCAGTCGGCGGCGCGAAGGAGCGGTGTGCGGAGCTGGGGCGCGGGCGGCAGGCGCGGCACAGCCCCCCCCCCCCCCCCCCCCACCCTCACGGCCCCGCTCCCCACGGCCCGGCGCTCGCCCTCGATCCCCCTCATGGAGTTCAAGCTGGAAGCGCACCGCATCGTCAGCATCTCGCTGGGCAAGATCTACAGCGCCCGGGGCCAGCGCGGCGGCCTCAAGCTCCACAAGAACCTCCTGGTGTCGCTGGTGCTGCGCAGCGCCCGGCAGGTCTACCTGAGCGAACCGGGCTGCCCGCCCGAGCCGCCCCCCGCCGCCTGCGGGCCCCCTGAGGAGGAGCCGCCGCCCTGCACCGGCACCGGCTGGGCGGCCGCCGAACCGCCGCCCCCGCAGGCCGAGGTGGCGAGGGGAGGCCCGAGGTTGCCCGGCGCGGACTGCGAGGGCCCCCGGCCGCGGCGCTGTTGCTGCGGCTGCAGCTGCTGCTGTTGCGGGGAGGCGAACCGGGCGGACTGTGCCCCCGCCGCTTCGGGGGTGGCGACGCCCCCGCCGCCCCACTGCCCACGGAAGCGGAGCGCCGGCGAGCGGGGCCAGGCGGGCTCCCCGGTGAAGAAGCCCCGTCGTGAGGTGGAGGAGGAGCCGCCGCCGCCCCCGCCGCCGCCGCCGGGCGAGCAGGAGGACATGGAGACGGGCAACGTGGCCAGCCTCATCAGCATCTTCGGCTCCAGCTTCTCGGGACTGCTCAGCAAGGAGCCCAAGGGCCGGCGGCGGCCGCCCCTTGACAGCGGCGAGACGGCGGCGGTGACGGCGCCCGCCGAGGCGCCGGCCGAGCCGGGACAGATCTGCTGCGACGAGCCGGTGCTGCGGACCCTCAACCCTTGGAGCACGGCCATCGTGGCCTTCTGACGCGCCGGCCGCAGAGACTCGCCACTCCGCCGCGGGGGAAGGGGGGCGAGGAGGGAGGGACGGACGGGCAGCCGGATCGAGAGGTGACCCACCGCCCCCCAGCTCCCCCCCAGCCGGCGGAGGAGGGCTCGGGCAGCCCCGCGGGGCTCCGGCGAGTCCCGGCGCCCCGTCCCGCCGCACGGCAAGGACCGCGGGGCGGCAGCAGCACTTCCCCCTTCGCCACCGGCGCCCCGGGTCCCGTCTGCCGGCACCCGCCCTGGGGGCGCCCCCCGGCCCTGCCCTCCCGGAATTCCCCTTCCTGGCGGGGCCGCCGCCCGGGGGGAGGCAGCCCGGCCGCCGCCGACACCGGGGGCCCTCCCACCGGCTCATATTTTAAGCTCGGAAAGTATTAAGTTTATTAAATAAAGTCTCTATTTTGGAAAGGTTTAGGTCAGAACTATTAACATGGTGCTTTTTAAAAGTGTTTATTGAGAGAAACGAAGTTTACAGACGCTCTGACGGAAAGTCCTTGAGCCTGTTTGTTTGGCTTGGTAACTCCCGGTCTTTGTTGTATAAAGGCTTGGGGCTCCCGTAGGGATTTTTGTACAGTGTTCTCCTTCAGTGATGTATCATGTTTTGTATAAAATGTAATTCTACGTGTATGACACGTATTAAATATTTCAACTGTACGAGCATAGTCACTGTTTGTGCTCCTGCTTGGCTCGGGGAGGGGAGGAGGAGGAGGGCCGCGGGGAGCCGGGCAGGCAGCAGCCAGGGTGTGGTTGCTGCATGTCTGTGGCTGGATCCACCCTGCCTCGCCAGAGGCGTGGGGTGGGTCGGAGTCCAGCTCCTCCGGGAGCCGGTGAAGAATGGGAACTTGTGTCGGAGCGACCGGAGTCCTTCCCAGGATTTTCCAGGTGCTCCCGCGGCTCCTCTGGCTGCAGCCTCTTCCCGGGGCCGGAGCTGCCGTGGCATTTGAGGTCTTGCTCAGAAAGTACCTAATGTGCAGAGTCACTCTGGGGGTGGGTGGAGAGCGGTTGCTAAATCCCAGAAGAGCAGCTGCGCGCAGTCCCCGTGGCGCGGCCGAGCGCTGGCCACTGACTTCGCCTGCCCAAAAGTCCGGGCTGGGGGCAAGTGGATCCGTCCTGAACACCCGCGGGCTGTGCTCACGGCCGGCTGCTGCTCTGCCAGTGATAATTTCCACTGCCTCCTCTTTGCTGTTTGGCGCAGATCAGTTAAAATCGTGAAGATGAGGTGGTGGTTTTTTCTTTTTTTTTTTTTTTTTTTTTTCTTCTTTCATTATCAGTAAAACTATAACTGGGTTAAAGTTCCTGCTCTTAGGGGTGGGGAGAAAAGTTTGGCCTCCACAAGGACTGGAGTGCCCCAAGGCGTTGTAATTAAGACTGAATTGTAGGGGGGAGTTTTTTGTTTTTTTTTTTTTTCCTTGCATCTTGCTGGGAGATTCGCTAGAGGCTTCTCTGCTCCTAATTAATGAACTTTTCAACTGAGGATTTGTGTCTCTGGCGAGTGGGGGGGGGGGGGGGGAGATGTTTGTGTGCTCTGAAACGCAGCCTGGGATATCTGGCTAAACCTCGGGGGTCTGGGAGAGGTGGGGAGCGGCGTGGGAGGTGAGCGATGACCGGCGTGAAGCTTTCTGCTCTCCGCTGACCCTGGCGCGGCTGGAATCGGTGCCGTGTCGGGAAGCAGCGCTCTCCCTCACAGGGGTCACTGGGGTTTTTACACCTTGTTTCTGCGAGAAGTGGAGGTGTCGGGCTTGGTCCTCCCGAAGCAGCGGGAAGGCAACGAGGGAAGAAGGACTTGCGATGGGGCTAGAAGCTGCCTGGTCTGGGGCGGCTTAGAGGGGGCTCTGCTAGTTTGTGTACAAGTTAGTAGCTCCCTATTATGTAAAAGAGAAAGTCTCGCCGCCTTAATTTTCCTGATAATTGCACTTAATGGTGATATACCATCTTAGCTTGGTAGTCGGCACCACGGAAATGGCGCGTGAGACGTTGCTTTCCATTGGGAGGTGACAGGGAGGGCCTGTCCCTGCTTCACTTGTATGTGTCCTCTCCAGGAGAAACCCACAGCCCGGCAGCGTGGCTGCCAGAGGGGAGATGCTCGGAGCTCTCCAGTAAGACGAGAGCAGCGGGAGGAGGAGGAGGAGGGTGCCTGCGAAGGACTTTCCCCCCCCCCCAGCTCTCCTCCTGCTCCCTTGCAGAAGAGACCCCCTGCTCTGAGGGCACAAGTTGCTCTCGTAGCTCAGAAGCTGGGCCAGGGGATGGAAACGACCTTCTGCTCCCGTACAAGCACATCTTCCTTCCCGAGGCGAGGCAGGGAGGGCTGCAGTCCCCCTCCTCGCTCGCCAACGTGCAAGTGGGATGGTTTTGCCCAGGGCTCGCAGTCAGCGCCAAAACGGGATGGGGGCTCTCCTGCTTTTGGCTGTCGAGGAGTTGATTTGGAACATCTTGGCCTATCTAAAGGTTTTTTGGGCAGCCAACTGCTGGAAGAGCGTCTGGTTCGTGTGGCCCCGGTGTCCCTGTGCAGGCAAGACCCAACCTCCCTTTGGCACAGATCACCAGCCGCGCTCGTATCTGTTCCATCTCCCAGAGTGGAGTTGTGCAACGGCTTAATTGCCTGTTGGGCCTCTGAAAATACAGCAAGGACTACCCAGAGTTGCCAACGCAGCTCTCTCTCGGGCTGGAGTGACCTCTCCGCAGAGCTCTGAGGGTGAGCAAGTTCTCACTTACCGGTTGAGAACCACGGTGCCGTGTCCCTGAAAGACCCGGCCCAGCTCCAGTGGCTGCCGGTGCCGTCTCTGCTGCGTGGACGGACGCTTGTTCCCGTGGCTGTGGTTTTATAACGCGTGGGGTTTGCTCCCTGGGACATGCGTTTTCCCCCGGGGAGCCGCAGGCTGCTGCTGACAGGGCTGGGAAAAATAACCAAAACGAGAGAGCTGCCCAGTGGGTTCTGTCTTGTTATCAAGGGGTCTGCACCTCCACGGGAAAATGAGTCTCAAATCAAAAAAGACCTGTAATGGTGACACTGTGTTACTTTTGGAATCAACTTTTCTACTCTTTGTTTTTTGTGGGTTTTCTGTTTTGTTTTGTTTTGTTTTTTTCCCCTCCCTCAGTGTCTTTTTTTTGTTTCATTCCTATAATCACTTTTACCTAAACAGGGTCTGTTTTCCTTAGCTCATCTGTTCCATCTTGCTGCTTCGATCCCTGGACTTTTCCTTCTGCTCGTGGCGCTGCCTTTTGGTTGCTGCAGAGGTGACTTGGGGTGACGGGACAGGAGAGCTGAGCAAGAAAGGGGGAATAAGCTCAAGGAGAGGCTCACGACCCGAACCCGCTGCCCAGGCCAATGCTGACAGAGGGAAGAGAAGTGCATAAATAAGCAAGATAAAAATAAAAGCTTCCATCACTTGGAAGAGAGGGTGAGATAGAGGTGGAGGGAGACGGGAGCGTGGCGGTTGGGCTTCCCCGGGCGATGCTGGGGGAGGAGGGCGAGCAGCAGGCTTTCGCTTTTCTCCGGCTCTAATCGTCAAAGAGCGGTCGCCGGTTGCAGCTCTGGGCGGATGAGCTGGGGCTTGCATCAGGGATACCTTCTGGAGAGAGGGAATTACTTAAAACCGGCTCTTGCCAATAAGGGAGTGTTAACGGTGTGAATCATCTCGGCCTTTAAAGGGATGGACGTAGGTCTGGCCTGGGCCGGGCGCCAGCCGGAGGCCGGAGGAAGCCCACGGGGCTGGGAGGCGATGGGCAGCCAGGGGCCGGGGCTCGCGGGAGGCTCCGGGTTTCACTCCGGATGCTCTTGCTCCCTCCTGGCCTGATGCGACCCGGCTTTACCCGCCCGTCCCTCCTCTCCTGGGGCAGGGGAAGGGGAGGAAAGCGCTGCACACTCATTGCCGCAGCATCCTGTGTCAGCGCTCAGGAATCCGGCGAGCTGCTGGGAGGGAGGAGAGGGAGGCAGGCCAGCGCTGCGGGGCTGCGCGTCTGCTGGGGCCTCTCCCCGCCTGGGGATCCAGGGGGGGGGGGGCACTGGGGCAGCCCTGGAGGGCGGGGGGGGGGATGCTTTGCCAAGGGCTAAACCCCAGGGCAGGGTTTTGGGAGGAAGGGAGGGGTGCAGAAGTACCGTGGTGCAGTACTTCTTCCTTAAGTGATGGCCCAAAAGGCTGTTTAGAGGCACGCCTGGATGTCCCCACCCCACGCCCTCACGCCGCTGCGGGGCTTGCATCTGTCTCCAATGTACTGTGCTTGCCGGCGATGCTCTGCCAATATATATTGAGGGTGGGCAAAGGGAGCCCCCTCCCCGGTCCCCAGTGGGCTGGGGGGTGCTTGCAGGGGAGCAGGGGCTCGTCCTTGCCGCTCTCCCCAGGGACAGGCTGGGTGTTTTCCTGGGCAGGGAGGTCCCAGCCCGGGGGGGGCTGCGAAGGTTGTTGGCAGGGCTGAGCCCGCTGGCGAGGCTCGCAGAAAACCCTGGGGCTTCTTCCAAGGAAGCATCCAAGTGCCTTTGCGAGGCTGGAGTGGGGCAGAGAGAGGGGTCGGCACTGGGAGGGGGATGGCTGGTGGGGGGAGAAGATGGTTGGAAGGTCCCCGGAGCTGCCTTGGCACGGAGGGACCCCAACAGAGGAGAGCTATTCCAGGCCAGCACGGGTCACGGAGGCAGGGTCAGGGCCAGGCGAGTGCTGGGACGTGGTGACAAACGCAAACAACTCCATTCTCCTGCTCTTCTGGTTGTGATTTCTGCTCCCGACGTGCAAACCCTGCAGGGCCCCCCCTCCCCTCCTTCTCCCCAGCTGGGCGAGGGCTGGCCTGGCCGCGATAATGAAATGCAGAGCTGCTTGGGAGAGCAAGGGGGGAAAAAAGGCTCTGTTTGAGGTTTTGTGCCTCTGGTTTCCTCCGGCCCTCTCTCCCAGCGGGGTGATTTATTGATGATGGAGCCTGGGGAGAGGGGGAGGGAAGGGCTTGGAGCTGCAGGCAAACAGTCAGTTATCATATATTTCCCAAGCACTCAAACGAGGTAGAGGGGAAAACAGGATGAGAGGAGGGTAAACTGCCTGGGCAGGGGCCGTAGAGCATCATTTATTGGAGCTGAGCTTGCCCCAGTTGCTCTGAGGCAGTGCTGAGCTCTTTGACTGGCTTTGTGGTGGATGCGCTCTCCCTCCATCCCAATTTCCCCATCTTCCCTCCAGCCCAGCTGGGTGGGCAGAGGGATGCTGAGACCTCCCCGCAGGCAGCTTTCTCCAGTGCAGGCGAGGGGGACTGTTCATCTTTTTTCCCCTTTCCTGGTGCCGTGGCCAAAGAAGCCGGCCGAGCCTTTCCCAGGCCGGTGGAGAAGCGGAGGTACGGGGTGGCACTGACCTGTTTTCGGGCACCCCCGTGGAGCAGCTGCACTGCTGGAGGCACTGCCAGGCTTCGACCTGCCTGGCTGCAGATGCGTTTGCTGCCTGCAGCCACCTTGGCTCAGCCCAGCCTTTCCCTGAAGCCAGGCTTTGGGCTCTGCCGCGTTGCTCTGGCACTGCCGGCAGCGAGCTCTCCCTCCCGCCCGGTGTGCCGCCGCGTCGCAGGGTGACCTCTTGCTCAGGAGAAGCAGGCAGGGCTGCCTGTCTTTCAGGCTCGCTGCTCTGGTTGGGAACGTGTGTGGTTTCCTAGGGGGAAGGTCTCCTCCTCCTCTTCCTCGCCTCTGCTGA